TTGATTAATAATTTAATAAAGTAATAAATTAAAAATATGTTAAATAAAAAAATAATTAAAAAATAATTATTAATTAATTATTATATAATTAAAAATAAATAAAAGTATTAAATTTTTAATAAAAAAAATAAATAAATAATTATATATAATATTAATAATTAATATATTCTTTTTTTAAAAACGTATTTATTAAATTATAATAATTTCATTTTTATTTAATTATTTAATACTTTTTAATTAAATATTTCGTTTAAAAAATTCAGTTTTTTTATTTATAAAAAGAAATTATAATAAATTTTTAAATAATAAAAAACGCGTTTAATATAAATTCTTTTTAATTATATAATAATAAATAAATATTATTTTAAAAAACTTTTAATAAAAACTATTTTAATAAATATAATTAATAAAGTTTATATATAAAAATTAAATCGTTTAATAAAAACCACTCTTAATAAAAATTAAAACTTAAATAACGTTAATTTCCGATAAAGATTACGACCGACGAAGTCTGTGATAACGGCTCGACTTTTAAGGTCTGTATTATGAGGGCGTAGACATGAGGATTCGGCAGCCGCGATCCCTTCGGATAGCACGTCAATGTCTACTTGGTTGAATAAGACTTGCGTCACAATTGCCAATTCAGCCTTAATGAAAGACTGATAGAACAGTGGACACGACAAGACAGCTGTTTGCAGAGATGCCACATCTGACAGAGCCGAAAGGACCATTTGCACAAGTTCAAGTGACAAACCTTCGATTCGACTCGACGGAGCCTCTTCGTATGCCACCATCTTATCTTCTCTTGAGCAGGAAAGCTAGGCGTGGGATCTAGGCAATTGAATGAAAGTCCTTTGCGGCGTAGTGGGAGGAAGGCCTAAATGACGGTGAATGTAGCCGAAGTTGGAGAAACGAATTTTCCCAGTACCTACCTACCTAAGTAGCCGCCAACTGCCCGCTGAAACTGCGCACTGGTCGTTGGGGCAGTCTGGGCGGTACCTAGGTACGTAGCTGGCACAAAGAACCTGTAATTTGGTGCGCGTGTCTCCGTTTTCGGTCCACAGAACCTCACTTTTTGGACGACTCCATGACTAGTAGACAACATCTGTTGCAATAAAGCTATATACCGGGAAGAGGCGCGAACTATTCCTCGAAAAATACCTTCAACCCATCAATCCACTTATCACCGACCACCCCAAGCTGATCAACGATTACATCTTTGGCATATGCCTCCTCATCAAATCCATTCCATTTGAGGAATGCTTTTCTGTCAGCTTTACCGTCCTGTAACATCATGCGAACAATATCAGTCCACCTTCCTGTTCCCTCGGGGTTAATATCAAAAGGCTCAATCCACCCTCTTCTCTTTGCATCACGCAAATGACTTAATACAAGAATCCAAGGCGTGACCTCTCTTTGGCCGGTGAGTGGTGAGTCAAAGATGGCATTCGGGGTACCAATCAAAGGGCCCAGGATTGGATGATCTAGATGGTGACTCCGCAGAAGCGACGCAACAAAAGAGCGCGACGAGAGAGGCATGATCGTCTTCTGTCGGGAAGTCAGGAATTCAAGAGCATATGACAGGAGAGGCGTTTGTTCCACAATCTTGTTTGGCTCGTTCTTTACGTCATGCTCATACTCTTTGAAGTAATTCTTGACTTCCGTGGAAGTGGCGAGGGAGTCAATAGTTCGGAGAACGTAATGCTCCAAACCGAACTTGGTGCAGAGAGCCAGAAATGGGAACAGTATTATCATCTTGTTCCCCTTGCGGCTCTCGTAAGAACCAAAGCAGCTACGAGCCCAGTGATCGTATTTATCACCCGGACGAGATTGCCAATACCAACTGATCGTCTTCTCAAGCTCGTCGATGAGGAGGCACTGCTCGGCTTCATGACTGTCTGCGATGTATCGCGCATGTGTTAGCGATAAGGCAATGTCGGGATACCATTCATCCAATCGTCTATGATGCTCGATTGGCTCCAAAGAATGCTTCAACTGTAGCACATGAGAGCGAATAAGACGTAGGTGAGGGTCAAAGCTACTCGAGGCATACGAGGTCAGCTTGTGCCAAGCGCCTGCGTGGAACATCAAATGATCGCGGACTGTTCGGTGGACATAGGTGACCTTTTGTGATGCAAGTCTTTGGAGCATCTGATTAGCCTTAGATGACGATGACTCGAACATATTTCCAGTTGTGCGATTGTCGTATGCCTCGAGCAAACCAGCAGACCGAGAGATGACTTGAGCCCTCATGAGATTGCAACGCTCAACGGTTTCTTCCACATTGCTTTCGATAACTTTTGCGTTCAACGCAGCGTATTCATCATGCGAATTCAAAGCGAATGCGATCTGCCAGAGAGACAAGGCATTGGAGGACTCATCTTTGACGAATGCTGCCACAACCTCTCGTGCTCTGACAAGTTCGAATATGTGTGTAGATTCAACTAGTTGGTCTTTTGTCTGGTCCACAAACAAGAGCTTCTGAAAAAGCTGATCCAAGTCCGACGGAAATTCGCGTACATAGGCCTGAAGCTCTGGGAAGGTGATTGCTTTGACGTGATGTTCGATGAGTTTTCTGACCACTAGCCGAACCCATAGAAAGACACCGTCCGCCTGTTGGACAATTTTTTTGGTGATTGCTTCTTTTTCGGTCTCATCCCCTTGGAAAGGTTTGCTCTTACTCAGATTGTCGCGGACATACTGCGTCATATCCTGGAAAGTCAAGTCCTGGAGCTTCAGATTCGGCACGGAGTACTCGAACGCGTTCTCGAAGACCTCCCAAGGACGTGATGAGAGACATAACTTGATGTGCGAGCTTCCAGATCCCTCCGATAGAGTTTTGAAGAATTGGACGATGGCTCGGTGGTCACCCTCAAACTCATCAAGGCCATCTACAAAAAGACAAATCTTCGTGTTTGACAATGCCTCTCCGAGATATCGTTGAAATCCGATCATGAGATCTGGAATCGTCCACTCGAGGACAAATCTGATTCTAGCTCGAGTTTCCATGGCTGTAAGTTTCTGCCACAGATCTGGGAAAACTTTGGGAATAAGGTTGACATCCGAAGAAAGTAACTGGTGCAAAAGATATCGGAGTAGACCCGTCTGGGATCTTTGCTCTTCAGAACCACTTGTCCAGAAGTAGAAGACAGCGGTGGCAAGATGGTAATTCCCTGCCCATGTCTTCAGGTGGCGGCGTGTAGAGCGATGCTCAGCGATATATCGCATGAGAGTCGATTTGCCAGATCCAGGTTTCCCCGTGACTGATGTAAACGTCAGCGATGTCAATTGTAAATATTTCAAATTCGTCTTACCCCAATATATACTTCCGAGATCACTGCCACTGAGCCAAGATGTGAACCGATCTCCTAGATGAGCATCGCCCTCCTTGGAAGACTGATATTTGAATATCCAATCGAAGGTGTCGCCATATGCCTCGGCTACCTCCTCCTCGCGCGTTTTCATTGACTTGAAGCTAAGGCTTTCTAGAATGAAATCGATCAGTATGCCTGTTGGGTTGCGGCCAGATGTATCCTGTTCGGAAGCTGATACTTTCTTCTCCCTCGCCGAGCTGGGTTCTTGGACGGCGAATGTGTCATGGCGGGATATAAGCTCAGAAGATATTGGTACGCTGCGTTTGTTGGAAGCATATCCGTGAGCGGTCGTCTAAAATTGATGGAAGGAGTGGTACTGGACTTACATATCCGGTGTCCCTGCGTGGCTGATATTCCACTGGCTTTGGATTTCCATGACGCGGCCAGCTAGCGCCTCGATGTCGGTGGTTGTCCATACGAGCTTCCCCGACACCTCAACGGTTGTCGGGGTACCGTGCGCATTCATCTGCTCGGATCGCTTTAGGTGAAGCAAAACATCTTGCGACACTTTGCGAGCTGCCTTGAACAGATCCAGACGCCCCTCCAAGGGCTTGTCGTCAATGGAGACTGGCACGGAGGATGAACCAGACCTGGCTGAAGAAAGCCGAGTCACGAGGCCTTCAAACTGGGAGACGACCTTGGAGAGACGCTCATCTTGGACGTTGTTGCTGGTTGGGTCGTCGCGGATTGCCGAAACAAGCGCATAAAGGTCAAGCGAATGGTTGAAGAAGGCCTTGATTGACTCTGCCATCTCCATCACTTTGACAGCTCAATCCCTGGCGCGGTTCATTCAATGCGAAGGGTGGTCGTGTAGTCTACTGTAGCTAAACAATCCAACCTGCTAACCTGACACCGAAGCCGCAATATGTGCGACTTGAAACACGCCACTTCCTCGTACGTCAAACTAGCACCCGAAGTGTGGTACGACAAAAGCTGAGGAAAGCCCGAAGCTGAAAGAAAGACGGAAGAGTCCACGCTGTGATATGGGTGGGAGGTCGACCGTCTTTAATACATCGGGGGTGTCAGCATCGCACTGCAGCTATGAGGGGCTTGGCGTGGGTTCATTGGGCCAATCCGGCCGCCCGTACTGCGCCGCAGTCAAGCGCCCCGGACGCTGTGGTCCACAGCATAGTGGTCACTTTTACTCCGTAGGTACATAGTTATGGAGGTTCTCAGTTGGTCACAGGCAGCGTGGACCTCATTGTGGGTCAGATTTCCATGGGCATTTACTGCCGTCTAACTGAGGTAGGTAGGAACTTTGTCTCTGATTGGACAACACCATCAACGTCAGGAGCACGCACATCCCGGAGCACTTAGTGACCGTGTCCCTCGTCGGCAAGATGTCCACCATCGCTATAGTAGTGCGCGCCCGGGGTCGTGGCATCCGTGTGATCACTGTTGAAGTCCAGTGCGACCTCAATCCACGCCAGCAGCCCATCTTCCACACTTTTGCCGAGTTGCACATACTGCACGAACGGGTCATACTGCGATGTAGCCTCATCCTTCATAAATCCGTCCTTGTCCCAGCTCGTGATTGCAATGTCGCTCAAGTTGTACGGATGGCTTCGCTCCACGGCCTTCACCAAGGCGTCCTCGAAGTACAGTTGGCCAATGTGGAGAGCCCGGCCGCCCGTGTAGGTGTTGTTCGCCTCGACACGGTAGTCTGTCTGTGCCAGAAGATGGATGTGGTTTGTTCGACCGTCGTAGTGGCCAGGAAAGATTGTGTCGAAAGTAGCCACGCCAAAATCATCGCTGAACTGCACGCCCCTCAGCCATGTTGTGTTGATGCCGTCTTGTCCGTTGGGGAATCCTGAGTACACTCCGGTGCTGTTGGCCTGCCAGGCCTCAACCGCGAGCTTAGGCACTGGCTGACATGTGTGCATGTTGACGAACTGAACATCAAGTTGCATCTTGATTCCGGCCTGTCCCTCAGTAATGTCCTTCCGTATCGCCTCGCCCGTGACCCAGAACGGGCCGATGATAGTCTCCGGGACCAGAGCGCATGTGGAGCCGGCACCGAAGATGGTCGTCTCGGGAGTGTTAAGGTCGTATCCCAGATAGGTCTGGTTGTGAGTCTTGTTGACGTAGGTGGCTAGGTCCTCGAGATCCCTTGTTTGGTGCGACATGCGTTCTGTACTTGGTCAGTCACCCTATACTTCGTCTATGGGATTTTGCCAAGATCTACCAGCAAGAAGTTTGCGTTCAGCTCGAAGTTTGTCTGCCTTGTCAGCACGTCGCATCGCGGCTTGACGTCTCATCTCGACAGCATGAGGGGCATCTCGGCATTGGGCAAGCGCGATAGAGGCTCTTGCGTGCTGGAGGCCTCGCATGAGCATCTCATGCTCGACCATCTCGGCAGTCTCGCCCGGGTGAGCCAAGGCGAGAGGGAATGCCAAGATGGCGACGATGATGTGCCTGATTTTCAACATTGTAAGTTCCTGTTGCTGAAGGCCAAGGCACGTACTGGGCGGAGAAGGGTGAGGTTTTACAACTGCATTTGACGCAATGCATTTGTTGAACAAGTTTCGCAAAAGACAACCTGCAAACCACGGTTCGAAAGAAAGGTCAATAAGTACTAAATACTTGTTGTGATTGCCTCCGAGCATTCTGCTTAAATTCACCGAGCAACGAATGTCAAGAAGGGGAAACCACGTCAGTTTGAGGTGCAGACGATTATGGGGTATGAAACTGGCTCCTATTGCTGTCTAAGGTCTCACATACTCGGCTTGCGCTTTGTTCTAGACCCTTTTTCATCAGGTAAATCGTACATTTACTGAATGAACAGGCCGGCACGTGACTGTGAACCGTCGAAATATCAGTCCCTATCTTCAAACTCGATTTCGCATTGCGCCCTTTCCTTTGTTATTTCCGTGCTTCAGCTTTGAGTACGTATGAGACATTTAAGTCTGATAAAATAAACTGAAAAATGCCTAGTTCTCCAAGCCTATGTCGGTGAAATTCATACCTCATTCCCCCCTAATCCCAGTACGGAAACCGTTGTACCTGAATCAGCCTTTCAGCTTGCTAATTGCTGGTTCTGTTAGCCTAACAGCGACACATTGAGCTGTTACTGATACAATTAGAGTCAAAGTTGGTAGTATTCTTTGGCTGGTTATTCTTTGGCTCGTTGTAAACCGCATGTGCATACAATAGACGTTACCCGAATGGGACAGCAAATGAAGCTATTCCCGATCCTTGTGGCCCACATGGCCGTGTCTCCACTCTTGATTGGCAGATTGGCTCACAGACGATCGGTCTTACCGACGGTCTAGAGCCCTTTCGACCCTCTGCCCCTTGAGCTAGGCCAAGTAGGGCTTCCGCGGGCCGCCGCCTCGGCTGGGAGGGTCCCTTATCGCCGGAGAATTCTTTTGCACTCCGTCGAAGGTTTCGACTGGGTCGCTGAGTTTTCCAAGGATCCTGAGTTTTCAGCGCATTTCTACCAGTGAAAAAGTGTCTGCTGCCTGCCTTCGTGGCTGACGTCAAACCAAGTACGCTAGTACGCTTCGATAGTCACAGTTTCACATCGCCTACCTAAGCTACATTGCACAAAACGTCACGGTTGCTACTAGAAGTCCTGGATCTTGGTCTCTGGTGCGATCTAATTCATCAAAGGGCCTCTCTTCCCTCCCCAGATCAACGTATAGTATCATTGGTACTGGAAATGCTGGCATTGGAACTCTCCCGGCCCGGTGCGAACGGAGTACATCCGGAAGTCGCCACCAAGATCCGGACTGAGTTGTACGAAGAGCGTGAGACACCTGGTGCTGGTATAGCAGCCTTTGCAAAAGCCTTCATTCCTTCTGGAACTCGTATATTCTGCGAGGAAGCATTGATAGTGGTTCGGGATGAAGCCAGGCAACCGGAGGTTTACAAAGCAGTCAGCTCGTTGCCAAAGGACAAGCAAGCGGCATACTGGGAGCTGGCTGCTTCGTCGAAACCAACCAAAGACGTGGACTGGATTAACCAATTAAGGTCAAGTTACGATGGTGAGTAGACTGTCATGAGATAAGTGCAAGGAGAGTCGCTGAACCTGGCTACAATAGGAGAGCCCGATTCGTTCAACGCAATTGTAGAGTCGCATGAACAAGCATGGTCAATATACGAGACAAATCGGTTCAGCTTGAGGTATCCCAATGGTGACTACAAGCTTGGTATATTCCCAAAGGTACAGGCTTTCTTGTGCATCCATAACTCAGACTTCTCTAACCAGTACAACAGTCCGCCCGGCTAAACCACGCATGTGCACCAAATGTGTTCCATCGGTATAACCCGCGCATCAACCGTCTCACAATCCATGCGCTCAAAGACATTCAGCCGGGCGAGGAGCTAAATACGTCGTACATCGACATCTGTCACCCTACTGTCGTCCGCCGGCAGATGCTCAAGGGATGGGGATTCAGATGTCAGTGCGTCGTCTGTGAGAGCCCAGACGATGAGCAGGATTATCGTCGGAAACAGTTGGAGGATATAATGAAGAAGGTCAAAAAGCGCGAGAGCCAGAGACAGCTGAGTGGCAGCAACTGGCCGCATAAAGAATATGAACGATCTATGAAGCTCATTCAGAAAGGTGTCCGGCTGATGAACAAGGAGCAAATGGAAGAGTCGGATACACTGGGCTTCCTTCTCACTTTGGCGACAAGATACGGTTTGTTGATGGGACAGGCTGAAGCAGCCGCTCTGTGGGCAGCTTCTGTTGTCGCCATTGAAGAAAAGTGTCTCGGGGAAGACAGTAACGAGCACCATGCCGCACTAGTTCTGCGTAAAACTGCGGACGCAGGTGGACTGGCCAGTCGGACGCTGTTAAGCAGCTCCATCTTGGCCTAATATTCAACGCCAGACTTGGGCTGGGTGATGACGCCCCAAATTATGGACTGCATGAACAATGACACTTGGTTTAACATTGACTGGCTACTTTGCGGTTCCATGGTCCATTCACAATATTACCTATCTACGGACGATGCTTCAGCTCTACCACCATGGCGTTCCCCCGGCTGCATCATCGTAAATGGACTGGAAGATCCCGCACTTGTCATCCACGGTTCCATTCCTGATCACAGTCCAGCCCGAAGGATTCTTGTCGGGACTCCCCAGTGCGGCCACGGCGTGATCCTGTCCAACATCGACCCTTGGCCAACCGGGGCCAACACCCCAGGGATCCTTAGCAAAGTCCGCCCACGCAGTCTGCATGACGCTGTTGAGTTTGATCTCGTCCGCGGTGGCGTTGGAAGCATCATATGTCCCAAAGAGAATAGGAATATCGGCCGAGTGATACACCCCGAATCCATCAATCGGAGTGTTTGGAAACGTCTCGTTGAAGTAGTACCGCCAAACAGGAATGCCCTGCCGCGCAGTCAGGCCAGCAATTCTGGAAATCGAGCACGTCCACTCGATATCTGTATCGATAGCCGCATCGGCAGCGAACCGTGTCGCGTAGCCAGAATCGCCCACGGGATAGGCGGAAGACAATTCAGTTTTAACGGACTCCAGGGTGGGAAATTGAGTAACGAACTCATCTATGGTGGTCAATGTGGGATCCTGGAACAATGTGCCCTCGTTCGCGGCTTGTCCGGTTAGTATAGGGACTCTGGCAATACGTCCCTCTACCCTAGCCTTCTCCGGAAACGTAAGTTGGGTCATGTCGTCATTCACTGCAGTGAAGGTCAAACTGCTAGCACTTGCAAGGGCTGTTTGGATATCAGCGACATCCACAGCGCGCATGCAAGCAAGCTCCTCATCATTGCTATTCGAAAGACTTGAGCAGTTGAGCTGAGTGACAATGGTGTCCCAAGCCGCCAACCCGGGAATATCTGACGCGATATCCATGACGGAAGCATAGTCGTACCACCCGCTCTGAGTAATCGCTGCCCGGAAAGGAGGGTTCTCCCGCATGGTCCCAACAAGACGGCTGACACTCGTGCTGCCGCTGCTCTGGCCGAAGATCGTAACCTTCTTCCGGTCGCCCCCGAAAGCGCCAATGTTGTCCTGCACCCACTGCAGCGCCATGCGCTGGTCGTAAAACCCGGCGTTCCGCTCCCCAAGCCCGAGCGCGGGTGCGTTGGAGAACCCAAGCAAGCTCAGACGGTAGTTGATACTAACAACAACCACGTCCTGGCTGGCTGCCAAGTACGACCCATCGTAAGCGGCGATGGCACTGGAGCCCGTCTTCAAGGCGCCGCCATGGATCCAGACCATCACCGTTCGCCCACATCCCGGCGCAGGACGCAACGGCGCGAACACGTTGAGATAGAGACAGTCCTCGCTCTGGGACGTCAACAAGTCCGCTGAACCCTGCTGAACGCATGCATTAGGCCACGCGGTTGCCAGTATATCCCCCTTCTTTGGAGCGGCGAATGGCTTGGGTGGCGCGAAACGAAGATCACCAATTGGGGGCTCAGCATAGGGGATTCCGAGGAACTGATTGATCGTCGAGGCCCCATTCGGTATAGACTTGCTGATTCCGACGACGCGACCTGCTGAGATCGTTGCCGTGGGATTGTCGGTCAGTCGAGCAGCAGAAGCTGCTGCCAGCCAGAGCGCGGCTACGACAGAGACCCTCATCATTTTTGGGACCAGTTGAGCAACATGAGGAAACCCACCGCATCTGGCTCAAACAGGAATCCCATATATAATAGAAGCAATCTGGAGAACGTAGCATTACATAACTCTAAGTCGGGGTGTTATCTGGGGCCGGCAACTTCTAGATTAGTCCTCGTTAGTATCGGCATCGTCCGACAGCACTGTCCTGGACAAAACAGATAAGAATCGTATCCTCTTTGATGGAAGCTGCTAGTCAAACAACCCTCAGTCAAAACATGAATGCCGGGAACATGTATACTGTGAACTATCCACGTGTTGGGCATAATCGGCATCGATGATGCGCCTTTCGGCATGACTCAGATGGGGTGCAGTGCTGTATGCCACGCGAGTCCAATCTTGGAAGGTGGGTTGCTCACAACTGGTTTGTTGGCGAAGTGTTACGACCAATGGTTTCCACGATTGATTTATTCTCTGCAGTATATGAGGCTAGAATGCCTGAAGAAGAGAATAATACCCTTTATTTCCATCTGGAAGATTAGGAGTAGGTATACACGAGTTGACAGTGGAGGGAACGCCAAGAATTGGGCTGAGCCCCTGCCTGCTACCATGGCAAACGACGTATTCCGCGGGCCTCCATCTCCAGTTCCTGTAGATAGAGACAAAACTGAATTGATCGAGACTACCTATCATTCGCAGATAGAGGTTACGCAAAAGCAAGAGGCAAAAGTCGTGATCAAGCGATTCCGCCACCAAACAGACCCACGAACACCGACTAAATTCCTCAACGAAGTGGCTGCCCTCAAAGCCTCAGGCGGGCATGTACGAACCCCATGGATATTGAGTACCACAGCGTTGTCGTCGGACTAACACATCATGACAGGAGAACACTGCAGAAATCCTGGACTCCAGCCTCGCTGAACTTACCATCACATTGCGCTTTGAAGAAGGGCGAAGTCTAGATAGACACATCGACGACCGCTCACGATCAACACTCTCCGCTGACGATAGCAATGTTGTCCTGACGCAAATGGCCAGCGCTCTGGCCCATCTGCATAGGCGATCTATAATCCACGACGATGTCAAGCCGGACAACATCATGTGGTCGAGCTCTCAGCAACGTTCTGTGCTCATTGACTTCGGTGCTGCCATTATCGACATGCCCGAGGGCTACTTCAATCCTTCGGGGACCCCCAGCTATGCGCCGCCCGAGTTCTTGAAAAAGAGGAAAGACGCGAAGGGGGACATTTGGGGATTGGGAGTCACGATGCTCTTCGCGTTTGGCTATGTTGCACTGCCGGATGGCGAGTGGCTTCTGCCTGCGGTCTTCGAGGAAGGCACTCCGAGACGAGAGATGTTGGAGTGGCTGGCAGAGGTCGAGATAATGAAGCACAGGACTGAGAGAGGCAATCCACTGCTCGCGGCAATGTTGGAGACAGACCTGGGGAAAAGAATTGGGAGTGAGGGATTGGTTGATGTGATTGATGTTAGACGCAGACAGAAGTAGACAGAGATGAATCGCGAAATCCTCGCCATCATTATGTGCGAATACCCTTACCCAGACTCGAACTTCGAGTGGGATCTTTCATAATTTCTCTTCCGACGGTGGCGACTGATGCACAATGCTCGTGCACATTGTAACTTACAGATGCGCTCGTAAGATTCGGTCTCATTCACTGAGTTCAAGATGAGCCAGGAACAGTCTGCTTCTGCCATCGGCATTGCAACTCGGTCGGAGACGGATTGGCTCCAGTCTGTCGAAAATGTAAACTTGCGAGACGAGACAAGGCCAAGATCACTGCCGGGCAGAGCTATAGCTACGGGAGTAGCTACATAAGTTAACTACTTCACCTCTCGTTTGCTCGCTGAAGAAAGATTGGGGGGGGGGGCACCCACTATTGCACGCTGGCCAGTGGTGCCCGTCCAGGCTAGCGGCCGACCAACACCCTGAGTGGGCTGCAATTTAGGGTGCGTGGCCGCTCGCCGCGACGCGCATGCAAGTAATCTTGGGCCACTGTTGACTAACTAAAAGGCTGCACGTCAGTTACTGCTGGGCCGCTGCTGACGAAGACGGAGCAGCCCTGGAGACGGCGGAAGAGGGTGGAGAGAGCGAAGAGTCCGGCTGGGCGATGATCGTGCATGGCTGTCAGCCAGTCTGCGAGCTGCCATTTGCCATGACCGTCGACTTCCGCGTGTGCCATCTCTACTTCCTTCGTTAGAGCACGCCCCTGACCTCGACCCCTAGATACGTCTTCTATACGTTACCTATAACTACCTACCTACTGTGACCAGCACTCTGGATGGGCAGATCGCACTGTCGCGCACACGTTTGACTAGGTTTCCACCTGCTGTGACCCTTGCCGGCCCATCCGAACGAACCCTCGCCGTTCCCTCTGGTCCCGGGGCCACGTCGCCTGTCACGTCCAGTCCCATCCAGTCCCACGATCCAACGTCGCCCCGCCGAGCTGCGACACCAGTCCCAGGGGTCGGACCCTCGTCCTTTGTCGCGTACCAAGAAGGCGAACAGACGCATCGCTACACCAAGCAGCAGACTCCCTGACGGCATTCTTGGCCCTACCGCAAACATGGGAATCGTACGACGTGCTGCTCGATGCAGCCCGCCGCCTTTGACTGGCCGTCTTCCCTCCCTATCGATACCTGCTGCGCTTCTGCTTGCTGCAACTATCCCCATGGCTTCAGCCCACGACCACGACTCCTCGCACATTGAGGAGGGCCAGGCCGTCTCGGTCGACCCGATTGTACGTCTATGTCTGCTCGGCGACAGCCATTTGAGCTGCCACGGAGAAGGAAAACGGTTGCGAGGTGGCTGTCGAGCGCAATGCTGACCACAGAACACAGGACACGACACTATGGATTCACATCTTCATCCAGATGGTGGCCTGGGGCATACTGTTCCCCGTAGGCATGGTTCTCGGTGTATGTTCTATCCCCTACTACCCAACTCACAAGTACGTTCTTTGCTTACCAGCCCGGGCGACCGACAGATCACCAAGAACCGATGGCACGTCCCCGTCCAGTCGCTGGCCACCATCCTCTGTCTACTCGGCTATGCTCTCGGACACATGCACGGCGGCCGCGAATTCCTCGATACGAATGTTCACGCCAAGTTCGCCTCGCCCTTGATGTTTTTACTCTTCGCCCAGATCGTCATGGGCATCTACTTGAAGTTGCACCTTGAGAAGGGCTTCAATGGCCGGATCCGACGCTTCGTGAAGCTGGGCCACGGGATCGTCGGCAAGGCGATGCCTGTCCTCGCCTGGACGCAGATGATCTTCGGCGGCATCACAGCACTCGGCTTCTGCCAGGGCGAACACGTCGGCCAGTGTCTGGCTCATTTCATCATGGGAGGAGCCTTCATCGCCTATGGTATTCTTCTGACCATTCTTCTGATCGTCGGTCAGATCTGGCTCAAGCACACCGGCCGCTCTCAAGAGTTCTTCGACAGTGCCGTCATTGCTGCTTGGGGCTGTGTCAACACCTTCACCGAACATCGTTGGGGCACCGCATGGGTCAAGAACGACTGGCAGCACACCACCATGGGCGTGATCTGGTGGTGCGCTGGCCTGGCCGGAGTCTGGCTCAGCAAAGACCGTGATGGGCGGCCTCAGCGCAACTTCGTCCCCGGCTTCGTTCTTCTGATCACTGGTTGGGGCATGAGCGCCCATCCCCAGGAGTTGATGGTCAGCGCCATGACCCACAAGATGTTTGGCTACACTCTCATGGCCTGTGGCCTCACCCGTATGATTGAGATTTCATTTGTGCTGCGTGACCGCACTGGCATGTCGGAGGATGGCCGCGAGACAAACAGTTTCCAGTACATCCCCGTATTCGTAAGTTCAACCACGTCTGGCCCAGCCCATCCATTTTGCTTACAGATTCGTAGCTTCTCTATGCCTCGGGCTTCCTCTTCATGGGTGCTACTGAGGAACAGATGGCCCTGGTCGCTGGTTCTGGAATGGACCACGTTTCTTACATCCTGATCCTCTACTCTCTTGCTTTCTTGGTGTTCCTTTTCACCATGATGCTCGTCAACCTTTACGACCGCAATGCCAACCCATCAATGCCGGCCAAAGAAATCGCAAACGGCCGCTTGGGACCCCGTATGAACGGCCATGTACCAGTTCGGGACGCTCAAGAGTTTGAGCTTGAGGGTCTGATGAGCGATGATGAGGATGAGGACGCCAGAAGGAGGCTCCGAGCGGGCGACGACAGTTTGGAGAGCCCAAGCACGCTGGGCAAGAACGAAGAGCGCATCGCTCACTGAAGCGTCCGGAAGGCCGTGCCGACACTCTGTGTCCGATACACGTGATCCAACAGGCATCCACCCATCATGATAGCATTTCCTTTCCGTACTGCATATATATCGGCGTCTGGGCAAGGTTGGATTGAAGCGTTATCACATTGGCCGAAGGTCAATAATAGATATACAAAATATTGCGCAGCCTAACCTCCAAATTCTAAGACTTGTATTCGCTCGCCATCCGCGTCTGGCACGTCTCCCATATCGTATCCATCACACTTGTAATGATTGGAGCGCATTTGAAGCTATGGCTTGTTCCCTCGTGTAGAAGCGAGTGAGGCTCTCATTCCAAGTCTATCTTGACGACGTGGCTCACGGCGTCGACAGCTTCTGTTGATTGGCGCGCATGGCTAGAAGGACCCATTGTCATTGTGACGACTGCACCCCAGATAATCCCAGACCGCCACAGCCGGCATTCACGATGCTCGGTATGTGTTTTAGAGAGCCGCTGGGGTTCGGAAACGCGACCAACGTTACTACAGGCCGGCATATTCCCCCACACACTGCTGAATCTGGCAATACGGGGTTACTCCGCCCTGATACCCCGTAGCTCTGGTTCCACCAATAGCCCATGGCTTTTACGGTTCTAAACCAAGAACAGTGAGGCTCGCGATTGCAACACGACATTTTATGGGATCTTTTGTCGATTCACGAGAAGGATTGCGTACGCCGATTCTGGTCGGATCACTCGGATCCCTGCCCTGGTTCTTGTCGAATGGTCCCATCTTCACTTGGCATAGAAACGACAACAGTCAAACTTTCGTGGGGACCAGGTATTTCCATACTAGACTTTCCACCACTCACACAATACTATGTCAGTCATCAGATAACTGGCCAACAATATGTGATCCAGTGTACATCCAACGCACTGCTGGGTAAGGGGAGGTTTTCTTGAGAGTTAAATAGGCGACGATCCTGAAACAAAATTTCCATACCGGCGGATAATGTGCATGTCTGCTCGCCTATTCACCACCCTCTACCTGTGACGCACCGTTCCGTCACCGGCCAGTCCGCCTGCAGTGCGGCTCGTTCCCATAACTCACATATTAGCTGCCACAAGAGAAAATTATGTTGTTCGCGAAGCTAGTGAGCGGCCTCCTGGCTCTTGCGGCCGGCGTCGCCGCCTACGGCAACCCGGGAGCCTGCTCTGGCGACTGCTGGGCCCACGACCCAGCTGTCATTCAGCGGTCTTCGGATGGTGTTTATTTCCGCTTCAACACCGGCTCCAAGATCGGCATCTGGAAGTCCTCTGCTCTGGAGGGACCTTGGGTATACCAGGGTGCGGCCATTCCGGCGGGCAGCAAGATCAATCTGGCTGGGAAGGATGATCTTTGGGTATGTGGCTCTCGAGGTCCTAGAAACAGGCTTCAGTAGAGTTTTCCGGGGAAGGGACCTGTGCCAGGCAGGAACTTGTTGTTTCAACTTTACGCCTGAATCGTAATCAGAAATTCATAACTGACGTTCCGGATACAGGCCCCAGATGTCCAGAAAGTTGGCAACAGCTACATCATGTACTACGCTGTGTCGACCTTCGGCTCGCAGAATTCTGCCATCGGTATGAAAATTCATGTCCCTGAATTTCACCATCAGATTTCTCCCCTTCTCTCGCTTGTCTAATGCCCTGTTCTTACTTGATACCTAGGCTATGCGACCTCTTCTACCATGGAGTACGGCTCCTGGACCGACCATGGCGCAACCGGCATTTCCTCCTCTTCGGGCAAGTCGTATAACGCCATCGATCCGAACTTAATCGCCGTAGGGTCCTCGTACCTGATGACCTTCGGCTCGTTCTGGGGCGATATCTACCAGGCGCCCATGTCGTCGGCGGCCACGTCGGCCACGGGCTCATCCTACAACCTCGCCTACCAGCCGTCGGGCTCGCACGCGCAGGAGGGCGCCTTCATGTGGTACCGGTCGGGCTACTACTACCTCTTCTGGAGCGAGGGCATCTGCTGCGGCTACGACTCCAGCAAGCCCGCTGCCGGCGCCGAGTACAAGATCCGCGTCTGCCGCAGCACCAGCGCCACCGGCGGCTTCGTCGACAAGAACGGCGCCAGCTGCACCAGCGGCGGCGGCACCACCGTTCTCGAGAGCCACGGCAATGTCTACGGGCCCGGCGGCCAGGGTATCTTCTCCGACGGAGCCCACGGCACCGTGCTGTACTACCACTATGGTAAGTCCTATTTCAATACCGATTTGTGAGAGGTGGCACCCCGACTAACAGCTCCCAAAAGCCAACACCAACATTGGTCTTGCGGACGCCAAGTACCAGTTTGGCTGGAACGTTATTGGCTGGTCTGGTGGCTGGCCGTCTGTATAGAAAGCTTCAAGGGTTTACCTACTTCGTAGGAAGCCATGGTTGCTACGTGTCCCATTCAGAGCTTGAGGGCCGACGGTTGAGCTTTTTGGCGCCATTCTTCATTGCATATATTTTATTTTGGCCACCTAGGTATATATTTTAAATCAATATGCAACCACTGCACAGTTGCTACGGCCAAGTGACTACGGAATCTAGTGTGTTTTCGATTTCTGGATTTTCCTCTCGTATCAATTCCAACATGACTTGCGCATTTCGTTTGATATCTTTCGAACTCCCAACCACTCCTCGATCCACCAGTAATGCCTCCGCCGTTACAACCCAAATCTGTTTCAAATCTGGTAGGTCGGGCAGGAGCAACTCTGCGTCGCCCAAGTTCAATGGGCCCATTGGGGGTCCTATTGCCAGGCTTGAGGGCAGAATCGTGACAGGTCCTTGGCGCCGCTGTTCTTCCTGGTCACTATGCGAGGATTTCCACGACAACTCCAGCCCAACCCTCTCACGTGGAGTATATGAGAGTTGATTACGTCTAGAGAGCCCTGGGATCCCTGGTCTCTTACGCCCCGTGCTGGTTCCTCCGACTAGCGGTTGAGATCTTGTCTGTACCCTTGAGTACCACTGGTCCACTGCACTTCTGCGGGACGTATACCCTTGGATCTGCCACAGCGTTGCAGCCTGTGACAAACCCCCTAAGTGCAGAATCGCACTGTAGACCTCATCGGCTGGTGGATCCCTTACGTAGCCCCGTAATGATCTCTCGACCCTGCCTGTATATGCTGGTGGTCGAAACTGTCTGACAAATGATGACAGGAACAAGGGGAAAATCTGATGCACGTTGAGCAGAGTCGCGTCATCATACGATTCCATGATCCTGCGCTCGATTGGGTTGAAAGTGAACACAGACCTCCTCAAGCCGTGGGGGTGATGTTTGACAAACCGTAAGTGTTCAGCTCGGTAGGTCTCGAAAAAGTGGAAAATCGTGAATATAACAGGTATCAAGCGCCTCCGCATGCGTTCGGCCTGAGGAGAAAATTGTTCGACCTGGGACGGAGTTGTGCGGAGGAAAATCTCCTTGACCACCCAATCCGTTATTAGTACAGATAGCTTGGTCGAGACCATCATTCGGTGCCGCAGCTGGCCAAGGTAGCCAAGGTCACCACGATTCATCGCGAATGGCGTTGGGAGGCGGTACAATCTATACGCATATATGGGAATGTGAGTCCGCAACAACGCCATAACGAAAATCGGTTCGTTGAACCTCACAAAATTGTACCATGCGTGTGATACGAGACGCAAATTGAGTAGGTCTGCAAATTGCAACTGACTACCAATCTTAACACGGATCTCATCAGGAAGGAGGAAGAACAAATTTGAAATGCTATATGTCTGTTAGCTCATGAAGTCTGTGTCTTCCTTGTGGTTGGGATTTCGCACTTGTTCTGGGCCATTGAAGGCTCGCGCGTTGGCGTACTCGGTCGCCGTTTCAGACCAGACAGAATATCGGAAAATCTTATGGGAGATTTATTTGATGCTGGCACCGATTTCTCTTTGACATCTTCTGTTCCCAATGTACTTCTTTTTGATAAGGGGAGCACGAAGGGGAAGCGAGGGGCGAAAGTTTTCGCTGGACTCAGCGTTACTGCAGAGCCAAATCTTTCAGCAATGTCTTGGAATATCTCATTGCCGGGTATAATGTATGCATACCCCGTTCCGGGTGTGCCTGCCGTGATATGGCCGTAGAAATCTCCAGTCTTTCGATCAATTACTGCGGCACCACAGTCACCTAGAGCAACAGGCCTCTCCAGGCGGATAGGATACACCTCCTGGAATTTGAACTTCCCAGCTGGACGTAAGAAAGTTGTTGTAGATGATAGCGTCCCAATGATCGCTCCACCTGAAGCGGTGATGGCCACAATATCTGTATCGCCTGGGAGGATGACGGAGCAACATTTGATGGTCACTAACCGCCGCATGCTCCCTTCAGTAAAGGAGACGGTGCAGGGACTTGTCGCCGGGTTATCAAGAGAGACAAGCGCATAGTCCATCACCGAATCGGGCAGAGTATCGGTACTGAAGGCGAGGTTGCCTACCTTACTGGGAGAGCTGACTAGTTTCGTTGAAGTGAAGACATCTGGCTTATAAGGGCCTGCACCGAAACTAATCTCGGATTCGACCTTGCCTTTTCCTTTTTCATCGGAACGAGCTGGCGAAGAAAACAATAGCCTTTCTTGTACCTGAGAATCAGCGGAGGCAACGCGCTGGAATGTTTCGACTCGGTCGCTATCATCATCGCTCTCCCAAATACTGGGCTCTTCGCTAGATTGGCTTGCGTGGCTAGTCGCAAGCAAATCTAATGAGCCCGAGGAATCTTCGTCGTCCGACTGCCCGTCGAAGTCACACTCATCAAGTGCTTCTTCTTCAGTGCTAAGGACTGAACTGCTCCCTACAAGACTCCGCACTGATGCGTGTCCAGCAGTGAGCTGATATGCTTTATCGTCAAAATAGACGACCAAACCACCTGTAGCAAGGCATTTCTTGCCTTCGACGTAAATGTAGAGCCTGCGACCGAGTGCATCACCGTCTTCCGAGCTTGTGAGTTTCCCACGTTCCTCGTAGTCTTCTGCTTCCTTCAACTGTTTCAACTTGTCAAAGTATCGATGAGAAGCGAACTCTGTCATATGCGGTGGATCCATGATGGGGATGACCCTTCTGCGGTCTGGTAAGACAGGAGTGTCCCCGAGGCCCACCCCGGTCCACTCTCTTAGTATACCGCTCTCTTTAATCGCTTTTCTGAGGCTTTTGCGCGCCTTCTGGTCTTCGGAACAGATGAGTATCGTGGGAACTGCACTATCCTCGGTGCGACCAATCATATACATCTCCAGTATGACCAGTGTCACGTTGGCACCGAAATGATCAAGGAATTCCTTGATCTTTGGCCGGATGATAAGCCAGACATCGCTCGCCCGACCCACCGGCCGCCAGCAGGTATACTTTCCCTTCTGTATCTCGCCTTGCTTTTCTCCTATACATTCCCGGGGCTTATCCCACTTGACTGGATCCTTTCGTAGGCCCAGGCGCAAGCTCAAGTCTGTCATGTCGTCATGCTCTCGTCCAATTTGACGGGCTCGTCGTATTATCGATCGCCTGACTCAAACGTCCTAAGCACTTAGCAATGTGACTATACTTTACAGATGCATGTTGAATCAGGTAGTGATTACTTCGACTACAGGCTGTCAGCCGATTGCTTTGACGTGGGGGAGAAGCAGAGATGTACCAAAATGCCTCCAGCTAAGCGCATCGTCGCTCAGCTCAGCTGAACCAGAATTGAGGGGTCGCGCAGATTGATGCACAGCCACTCATCGACAGCTAAATCGCCTCGACTAGGTGGTCAGGCAGACTTTGGTCTCAGCCTCACCTTTCCATACAGTGCAGATGCATTCCATGGCTAACGTCCTCCTGGAACTCTTCAGCATACAATCAGAACAACACGCCGTAGCACGCATCGCTCATTGTGTCCAATCCGCTGCCGAGACAACATGTCAAAATTGGATCAATCTATCGGCCAACCTCCATCACTGCAGGCCAAAAGAGCAATCATCGAGGGATTCTGGGGTGGCGTTCTCCCAGGGCAGCTTTCATACACCGACAAGGCTGCTGCTCCAGAACAGGTTTTGGACGCGTATTTCAACTTTTATCAACAACAGTGTGACTTGATCGGATTGCACGCCAATGGCAAATACTCCTCCATTACCACCCACGAGCATGTCTTGCAGGTCGCAAAACTGCTCATTCTGGGCCACACGCGGGATGAAGTATGCAGTGAGCTTGATGGAATGATACCAAACGCGGACAAGGTACAGCACGAGAGATCGGTCTACCTAGTCGCCCGACTTTTGCTCATGGTGCAGGTGGGCGAGATCCCACACGAATGGTCTGGGAGCCGACCAATATGTTGGCAAGATGCCGGCTCCACGATACGTGACGTTATTCGTGCCCGATTCTCGGACATCCCAGTGCTGGGCCACGAAAGAGTCAAGTTTGAGAAGGCCTTTAACGTATTGGGTCTCAACCGCATCGCGGGCATTGAGATACGCTGGACGTCAAACCTGGCGGACCACTTGCGTTTGATACACGATGACACTCTCCTGTGCGTTTTTCACCATTCTGGGTTTCTTCAGCGGCAGAATGACAAGTACGTGAAAACATCCCAAACACAAGCACTACTTGACTCTAATGGCAATTCAGTGACATATACCCCGATGGCTTGATCCAGGAGACTGCGCAGACTCTTGCTTTGCTCTTTCCCAAGTATGACCCGGGCGTTAGGGCATGGTACCAAAAAATGACTAGGACGACCAATATCGACTCCAGTCTGATGGATGTCGGCCAGTTGATAGCGGACGAACGCCAGATTGAGAACTTCCGGTACTGGCACGACCGTCTGGTGGTCTTGAAGCAGGTATTTGATGATTCTAGGCCTAGGACCATGATGCAGTGGTGGTATGATCGCCGCAACGGGGTCCAATGGTACACTTTTTGGGTTGCGATCGTAGTCTTAATCATGACATTGTTCTTTGGACTTGTACAGAGCATCGAAGGTGCATTACAAGTTTATATGAGCTTCCAGTCATCTTCTTAGATATTTGGTATCTTTCGTCGGATTCAAGATAGATTAATTGCTAAGTAGCAAAACATCGTCAAGGCGTACCCACTGGAGATCGGGCTGTTTGGATCAACCAAAAATTGCCAGAGCACTTGGTTGACTGTTCTATAGCTATCCTAGCCCAAGATACGGCAAAATTTCAAGCTTTTATGCGCATCCTGAAGCAACTCGTGAGCATATCGCCTCTAATGCTATGTCTTAAATCTGAGGACGACGTCGCATTGATTGCCGTATTCGAAGAAGCAGTCACAGTCGCAGGCGCAGAATTGTTCCTATGAATTGTTGTTTGCGAACATGGTCGTGGCGTCGACTAGGGCAATGAAACATAATATATTGACCCGAAGGTTGAACCATGTGCTGTTGATCTCTAAGTTCCAGGCGGGCAGTTGGTTGAACATACGGAAATATTGACAGCAGTCAGGTTGCAGTAGTCTGCTTTAGTGCCGTAATATGAACACCAGTTGCTAATTATTCCTGGAGTGGTCGGCGACGCTGGCGTGGCTGTGACATTGCATGAGAGGGGAGACACAGCAGCGGCCGGCGCCATCGCTGGAGTGAAAGAACACTGGGGTGGGCGGTCTAAGTACGGGGCCTGCGGTCAGAATGCTTCACCACTAATCGTGTAGAATCATATAAATTACCCGATTTAGATGGAGTCGCCTGGCATAACACCGATCTTGATCTTAAAGTGCGCACAGATCGTCACAGGACATGCCAACAAAAACTTCAAATGGAGGTTTCGATACAATGTCTAGCTGGAACACTGTCACACGGAGCTAGCCTAGATGGATTGTCAAGCAAATGAATACATAATCGGAGAAGCTTTAGCATTGGCAATATCTTGGTCCCGGTTCGTATTCTTTTCTTCCTTCCTCCTAAACTTCAGCCGCTCAAGCAGCACTTGCATCAAAGGAAAGTGCTCTCACTCGCAGTCCAGAGAACCCGTTCCGTGGTTGGGAGTACAGAAACCGCTGCAACAGCCATTGAGATCACTGTGGCAATCGCCTTATCAATATAAACAAAATAATGTTAGCTTCCGTTCAAAATCCGATTGTATTTTCGAGGGTAGATTAATCGATTACATATAGTAACAGTCAAGGAATCTTTCATGATGAAATGAGTACGTACCACCCGAGGGAATGCAGCGTTTTCCAAGGCCGCCATCAGCCAACTGGGATGGGGCAGCGATGGCCATGGCAGCCAGGAGACTGGCAAGGAAGGTACTGAAGAACTTCATTTTTAATAGGAGCAGAGCAAGAGTTCTAAGAAACTTTATGTGAATTGGTGCAATCCAGATTTTGGCTTCCTCCATGAACTTGAATTTGCAGGAGAGCGTCGACAGCTTTATATAATCATGGATCGCTGCTGCGCCCCAAAAAGGACCTGCAAAATTCTCCGAAGTCAATCTAGCAAGTTCTGTCCAATGTCCTAGATCGGATGTTCAAATTATTGGGTTTTCTGTCTGTAACGGGATATATGATGCGGTGACCCCATTCAACTGGGCTAACTTATGGCTCCTCCGGAGATCGGCAATAGGACCTATCCGGTGGTGAAGGCGGTGGGTGCTTAAACGTGTGGCATTAATGTATTCTTCAATCGACACGAAGATCACATACGTATTCCGAGCTTTGACAAGGTCGAGTTCGGGCATTCAACGAGATTGCAGTGCCGTAGGTTGTCACCAACAAGGTATCTCATTGGCAATCCCCTTCCGTGGTTCGCTCTAATCTGGTACGCCTTCATCATGCAGCTGTCTTCAGCTTCGTAAGCTATCGCTGCAATAAGTATCAAGTGTCGATGGAACGGGGTAAATATGTCTAGATGACGCGTTTCAATGAAACCATACCAAGCACATCTGACTGGGAGGTTCACATACCAGAGGTATGCAATGGCCACAATCGTAACACGCAAACTATGGACAACCGCTATTTGATACGAGTTGAACTGCGAATCTGTTGGATTTGAGCTGTGGTACAAAGCCACATACTGAGTGCGCATTTCGTATACAGTGTCGATCTTATATCTGACGTGAGGCTGATTTGTCAAATGGAGTCAGTGAACTCGCACAACTTTGCCGTAAGGGTGAACTTAACTCGACTGCATTCCAAAGCTTCAGCAGTTATCCCGCTGGATCGATCGTAAATTTTAAACATAGAGATTTTCAAAAATTAGTATCCATCTATCGGTAGCCGAGTTCGAATGGCCCTAATGCATATATTGTGAGAAACGGGCGGTCATATTATCGTGACGCAGCATTTAATTTAAAGAGGCTGCAGTCTGACATGACAGCTCCAATCATTCTGGTAAGACTCTTTGCTTTATGCCGGGTTTGCAGCGCAATTGGCTGAACCAATCTAACAAATGAATGGTTACCTGTAGCACCTTGGTAAACATCCATCAAGTAGATATTGCATGACGTCAATTCAAGAAACACTGTTGTTGTTGAGTTTCTATCGAGAGGAATGCGTATAAATGGCTTCAAGACTCTCCTGCCTTGATGTTCAGAAATTCCAATCCGCCATCTGAGTGTGTTGTCCGGCTCTTAAGCTCATTCCTACAAGACCGCAATCATGAAGTTCGCCACCGCTACCTTTGCCCTCTTCAGTGTGTTCGGTGTCTCGATAGCCGCGGCAGTGCCGGAGACCCAGCGCGTTGGGCTCGTCCAAAGAGCCGCTTCCGGGGAGCTTATTTTTGGCCGCTCCTTTCCCTGTGCCTCTAATGATCCGAGGACCTGCTGCGCGGTGAGTCCCTCTGCACTAATCTCTTACAGCATATCCCCCGGTGCTGACAAGTTTAACTCAGTGCCGTGGTGGGTTTGGAACATGTATCAGCGGTGTTTGCTCTTGCAATGGCGGAGACTGCTGAGTCCTAATCTACAGGCCATGGTTGTGGTACAAGAGAAGAAGAGCAATCAGTTGAGCGGGAGATTGTTCTTCGTGAAGACATAAGCGTGGAGGGAGGTTCATATCCTTTGTAGCCCACCTACTTGGGTAGTCATTCGTTGTTAGGGGCCTGGCCAGCTCATCAATCCAATACAATAATACCGGTAAAAAGCGTGTCTTTCTGTCCATCCCTTGTAGAGCGTGCTCCATGGTGAATTTCGGTTATCTAGTCATTAGGAATTACCAACTGACTTTCTGAAGTTACGCTACAACCTCCCCCGTACCTTTCATAACTGCATAGTACTAGCTCATCGTGGGTCTAATATGTAGGCATGCTCGTGTACTTCCTGACTAGATGACGCGTCCGGGATAACAATATTTCGACTACTTCCACGCTAGAACTTCAGTTTGCAGTGCAACATACCATGCACTGTCATCTTTAGCCCAGGAAATGAGCGCATCTCGCACTTGTTTCACTGTCTGTTCGTCTATTCCAACCCGACGCCAGCTTTCCCGAAAAGTATCGCCTAGCTCCAGCCTGCCCAAGATGCCGTTGACATACCACTCCCTCGCCTCTCTACTCGAATAAACTGTTGTTCCGGCCCCGACTCTGACCTTTCCCGCGGCAACATCGAAGCCGACTTGTTGAAACAGCGCTGGCATGTCTCCACCAGGCCAGCAAGCATTCGAATCTCCATTGCGCAAGGCCTTCACCGCATTACCAGCCCAGAGCCGGTCAAGGTCATAAGTGCGGGGATAGAAATGCAACTCAGCGGCATCACGAGATGCGAGGATTCCGCCGGGTTTAATGACTCGGCGCATTTCGGCCAATGCCCTAACACGCATATCCGCCGTCGCAAGATGAGGGAAGAGTTGTGAGTTATACACTACGTCGAAAGTGTCATCAGGGAATGGAAGGCCTGCAAGAAGATCTGCATTCTGGAAAGCGATAGTAGCAAGTGAGTATGAGCTCAAGCTCGCCTCTTTCTGAGCATCGTGGGCTGCCTTCCTGGCTTGTTCCAAAACCTGATCGGATATGTCGACCCCGATAATTGAACCTTGGAATGCGAGACGACCGAACCCGGTAGTGATAGTCCCAGGTCCACACCCAACATCTAGAATCATGTCGGTAGGCTTAATCTCGGGCCGCAGGAAATTCGCGTCAGTGTCCACAGTCCTGGACGCGTGGCTGGAGATTGTAGCCCTGGAGTACCCTTGCGAGTAATTAGTTTCCGGTGCTGCCATGTCGAAGTGAGGACGTTGATAGTAGGACGTTTCCAGCAGAGGAATTCAATAGAATCCTCGGGGTGCATGACAACGCTTGTATATATGTGAGTGGACCGTCGCTACATAGCACTTCGATAGAGTGGGGTCTGCGGACTTGAGCCAAGGTGTTGATTGGAGGTCCGGAGCTGAGATCAACTGACCGGAGTTGATTGCAGCAGCTGATTGGCAAATCGGTGCTGACTTCGCTAGTGGAACTCAAACCTCGATGCTTCGCCCGAGTGACGTCGAAAAGCCCACCACTTGACAGTGATCAAGTGCACTTCAACACCGACGGATCTGGACCTGGCTGGCATACACCGTCACCATGAGGGCCGCAAGATATGCTCGCTCTCGGCAGAAGGCCTGTCAACAATGTTCTGGTGCCAAGGCAAAGTGCGACCTTCAAGAAAAATGTTGCAGTAGGTGCGCTGCGCGAGGCCTGAGCTGCGTATATCCTCAGAGCCCATCCATTCACCAGGACGGGCACATGAACAAATCAGCTACGAGAAAACACACCCAACTGGTTGACCAAGTTCATGATTGGAGCGATACCGGATCGCCAAGATCCGTTGTCACCCAGACCACTGCCATCGGCTCTTCGACCACAGCATTCGACAATGACAGTTTGAAGGGCTACCCGGGTCCAGAAGTCAGAGTGACTGATTCACTGGCAAGAGAGACGAAGGATTCGGGCTGCACAGCGTTGGAGTTGGTGTGTCCTATCAACGCCGATGAGATTGGCAGTCGCTGGCTGAACCCATATGTTCCTGTTCCGGGCCAAAAGACGAAACAGTATCCTCAAAACATCAAGGCATTAATCAGTAGAATACTCAAATCATATACATCCATCACCGTACGCGGGCGTGGAACTCCACCATTCATCCACTTCTCACACGCCACCCCCCCTTCAGCAAGACCACCACTTTCGACTTGCCTGACGCTGGCGCGGATTTGTGACCGGAGACTCCCCTCTACCGAGAGTGTGGCAGTGGAGCTTTTGCAGAGGGAAATGGACAAGCTCTACGAGCAATACAAAACTTACAGCGATTCGACGCTGCTTTCTGCATTTCAAGCTTATCTACTCTACTGTATGATTCTCTTCTTCAAACTCAATTCTTCTGGGTTCGGGACTGTCCAGCAAGCAATGATGAATCTCCAGGAAATAGCTTGCTCCTGTTGCCGCAGTGGACTTGTGTGTGTAGCTGAACAGCAGCGTACTCGCCCAAGGTGGGAGAGTTGGATCGCCGCGGAAGCAAAACGCCGAACTTTGTATACCATGTATCTGTTCGACGGCATGGTTTCTACACAAGCAGGTCTGCCGACATATTTCGGCACTGAGTTGCAAGGACTGCCCGCCCCTACGCCCGGCTTTTTATGGAAGACGGAATCCGTGCAGCAGTGGGAGACGGCATATAACAGGTACTTGGCAGATTGGACTCGAGGAGGTCTGCGGATCGATGAGCTTTGGCCGATACCTGCGGAATTAGAGCAAGCCGAGATTCTCGCACGGCATCAAAGAGTCGACCAGTGGCTAGAGGATGTCGATGAGTTTGGGACAATGCTTTATGCAGTCTCCAGCTCTACACATGATGTAGATGAGTGAGGGGCTGGCAGTAACGTTGAGAGACAGTCATCGCTGCTAGTCGTGCGCGCGATGTGGTACCCGCTATTGTACGAGCCACGAATGAACTCTTTCAGGAATTATCTCTGCGATGAACGAATAATAAAACTGGCAAGTTCGGTGCTGTTGGCAAACATCTCGCGACATAGCACCGATGGTCCGTGGTGCTCGCTAAAAGCGGATTCGCCCCTAACTCGGGCCAGTCTAGCCTGAACCCCGCTCAGTCACTGCACAATCGAACGGTGACAGGGGAGATGAGCAGGAACATCTGCAAAGGGTGCATCTGAGATCAGCTCGAGAAGGGCAATAGAATCGAGACAGGGCTGCACTAGAACGGCCCGTACCATGGTTTTCTCCGTCGCGACACAACCGGCTTCCATGAGCCCATCGTCCATCATGGCCTTGATTCAATCCAGGACCCCGCAACGCTTCCACAAGGGTAAGCTACTTGAGAACGTCGACTGTTTCAGCACCGGGCCGGGGGTGTTCTGCCCACCGGCAACCATGATGGCGCAGTGCCGCAGGAGGCTCCCTAAAGCGCCTTTGAAACGTCAGGGGCCAAGAGGAGTCCGGATGATGGACTCATCTGTAAGTACGGATCAAGATCAGTAGTTTCTGTTCACAATAAGATTTTTTTCTCGGCATCACTTCATTCATTTGCCGTATTCATTCTCAACATTCCTTCTCTCGTTATGACTGCTGGTTTCAGGGTATAGGGACTTTTTCAGAAATAGTTACAGTTGCCTTTTTTGGATAGTATTTGGAGGTTGGTTTTCAGTCTTAATCATGATGCGCAGAACCGGGCTTGCAAGTCTCTGCTTGGCAGTCGGTGCCGCAGTAGCGGCTGTTGATCCCATCACAGCAAAGGTATGCAGTTATCAGCCCTTTGCTTGCCAGCATCGACTAACATAAACGACTGTTCTACTAGGGTCAATACTTCTTTCATTCCAATGGCACGCAGTTCTTCATTCGAGGTGTAGCCTACCAGCAAGGCGTCGGGGTTGGAGGGCAGGTCGACCCCAGCACACAAACATTCATAGACCCGTTAGCGGACACCACAAGCTGCAAGCGCGACATACCACTATTACAACAGCTCAACACCAACACCATCAGGGTCTACGCCGTTGACCCCACAGCGGACCACACGGAGTGCATGTCAGCACTGGACGATGCTGGTATCTATGTTATCGCCGATCTCAGTGCACCTGATGTGGGCGATTCAATCAATCGAGACACTCCTACATGGAACACGGCCTTGCTCGACCGATACAAGGGCGTAATCGACAACTTGGCCGCATTTCCAAACACTCTTGGCTTCTTCGCCGGCAATGAAGTCACCAACAACAACACCAACACACAGGCCTCAGCCTTCGTGAAAGCCGCCGTCCGCGACAGCAAGGCCTATATCGCCTCAAAGAACGTTGGCCGTTGGCTTGGCGTTGGCTACGCGACGAACGACGACGCCGATACTCGTGACTTGCTGGCTAACTACTTCAATTGCGACGACCCTGCAGCTGCCGTGGACTTTTGGGGATACAACATCTACGAATGGTGTGGTGAAAGCACATTTGAGTCAAGCGGTTACCAGGAACGCACTGCGGCCTTCCAGAACTTTTCGGTGCCTGCGTTCTTCAGCGAATACGGGTGCAACAACCCAGGGGGAGGTGAGGCGCGCATCTTTCAGGAGACCGGGGTTCTGTACAGTAACCTCATGAACACGGTGTGGAGCGGTGGTATCGTGTACGAGTTCTTTCAGGAACAGAACGACTTCGGTAAGCATAGTAGATGAAGCATCTCCAGGCGTTGCTAACAGTCTTACTCAGGTCTGGTGTCGGTCTCGAATGGACAGGTTACTCCTCGAAAGGACTTCGCCGTTCTAGCAAAGCAGCTCGAGGCGTCCAAGAATGCCGGCAGCAATCAAAGTCTCCCCATGAGCCTGTACACCCCAACCAATACTCCCCGCGACTGCCCCAAGGTTGCAGCCGGAAGCTGGGAGGCGTCATCTGTGCTGCCGCCCACACCCAACACCACTGTCTGTGATTGCATGGCCCAATCACTCCAGTGCGTCGTGTCATCCAGCGTCGACGCAAAGAGCATGGGTGCGCTCTTCGGGACCGTATGTGGACTTGACTCGAAGGCCTGTGACGGCATCGCGTCGGATGCCAGCTCGGGCACGTACGGAGCGTTCAGCATGTGTAACAGCACGCAGCAACTGAGCCATGTGCTCAACCAATACTACCTTAACCAGGGAAAGAGCGCTTCAGCATGTGGTTTCGATGGTCAAGCCGAACTGCTGAGCTCGACGACAGCAGCAGACCCCAGGTGCGGAGCAGTGCTAGCGGAAGCGCCGTCAAGCACCGGTACGCCGATCCCAGGAACTGGAAACGGAAGCGGGAGTGGGAACAGCAGCGGCGGCGGCTCCAGTGGTGGCAGTTCAAGCGGAGGCAGTACCAGCGGAAGCGGCAATGGTTCAAGCTCGGGCGGCAGTGGCACCAGTGGAAACAGCGTGACGAATAGTGGAAGCTCGGGTAGCTCTGCCAGTTCCAGTGCATCTGGCGCATTTGGCAGTTCTGGCGTCGCCGTACGCTCTGATGCCGCCGGCTGTATGATGGCTATGGTCATGCTTGGAGCGGGCCTTGCAGTATGGTAAAATTTTCCGACCCAAATCAGAACAACAGAACGGGCTAGAGAGAAGGTTGAGCCTTCAGGATATTTCAAGCAATTAGACTTACGCGCGATAAATATCTATAAACTTGCACATATATGTGCACATACTCACAGGTGATATGAGTTCCATTAGCCTACTATATGGCGATGCAAGCTTGATTTCGTACGTAGTCCAACTGTTTGAATAAACTTAGTACTACACCCTCAGGTGTATTGATGTGTCGCCGCTAAACAATTCTTTTGTTGCTGACTGACAGCAACTAATATGCGCCTATAAATTCAACGTCAGAAAGTAGAGCACCCCTTGAACTAGAATGCAGCTCATGTTGTCTATTTTCATAACAACCTCATCGATATAGTGTCCCATTGTTCTCTGGGCAGCCAACGGCAGAGTAAAGAAAGTTCGAAATCACACATAATGAAAAACTTCTCTTAGATCAACAATCAGGGCGCTCGTTGTGTTACGGTCAAACGGCTCCCCTCTGATTTTGACCAACATATCTCGTGATATGCAGTCTCTCCGGAGAATCCCTGACAAATGGAGAGGGGCAGAACCCACGTGCCTCTCCCGCGCTATAGCATTGAGGCGCATGCCCTGACACCTTGTCATTGTAAAAGTGCAATCTTACTAGCATATGCATGACTGACTAATATGTGTCACCCTAAAGTGCACTCCATGGATGACTGACTAGTGCACTTAAGCTCACCTGGACGTGCGTAATTAAGGCCGGCATCAGTCCAGGGAGCATAGGACGAGGCGGAAGCTGACATGCAGCGGGTTAGGCTACTAGGTCGTTATGGTCCTGGTACGTTGTATGATTTAAAATTTCGGCGCGGATTTTCGTCTAGATCATTGGCTGTAGCAGTACAACCTTGTTTTCACCCGCGGCAAAGCAGCGGCACAGGATGAAAAAAACCAACCAGCCCCAGGGAAATATGTTGCCAGTCCCCACAACGATGACAACTTATATGCATAGCACTTTGGTTCGATTAACGTACCGAACGACTACCCCTAGGCAAGATCTATACGACCTTGAAGACGGCAAGTCTATTCCGCAGACTTGGGGTTAATTAAGAGTAAGCAGGCAGCATATCTCCGCTTTTTGTTGCCAAGCATATGAACACCAGGGAACGGTTACGAGTTACTGCGCCGCCAAGCTAGTGATGCACGAGCATTCGTGATGATCCAAGTATTGAAATTGACCTTGCTCATGTCTACATTCGTCTGGCTCGAGATAGATGGGAAAGGGCCGACCTGCGCGCGGTCGTATCTATAAAACGAGCTCTTCCGCCGCGAAGAACGGATAATCTAACTCCCAATCATTGTCTTCGCATTGCACCCTAACCACCATAACAATTGGCCCATAATTGGAACAGAACCAAGCTTCAATATGCAGCTCACCGATCTTCCAGCACTACTTGCTGCGTTCGCAGCCTTTTCTGCCCAAGTCCAGGCAGTGCCTACTAGGGATTCCACCACATTGGAGTCACGTCAAGGTTTTGAAAGCGACTGTAAGATGATCGAGCAGATTTACCAACTGCGAAACCAAGTATTAAACATATTCAGGTATCGTAACCTATGTCGTCCAGCCTGGCGACTATTGCAACAAGATCCGCGATCACTTCAATGACGTGTGGTCGCTCGAAGACTTGTATGTATCATTACCAGTGCGATTACCAGGCCCACACTGATTGATTTGTGTTAGTTACAAATGGAATCCCCAAGTCGACGTGAGTCACAATCATACGGCCGGACGTGAGCACTACTGACAACTTCACAGAGCTTCTGCTCCAACCTGTACCCAGGGGAGGTAGTTTGCGTGGGCACGAAAGACAGCCCGACTATCCCGCCTTCGTGCCCGGTACCGGTCCAGCCAGGCTTGGTCAGTAACTGTGTCAAGTGTTACACGATCAAGGAGAATGACAACTGCGGAGCTATCGAATTGGCCCAAGGAATTTCAGATGAAGACTTCCGCCTGTGGAACCCCAGTATCAACGCAGCATGCTCCAACCTCCTCATCAACAACAACTATTGTGTTGGTGTCTGAGAAAGCGCTCATTATTCCTCCATTTGAGCTTCGCTTTGACCGAAATATCACTTGGGAAAGAAGCCACTAAGTTTATTAGGGGTGGAGAAGTGTTCATATATGAGTTAATCTTAAACCTAATAGAAAAAGCTAAATCGAAAATTTCAAGCTATATTGGAATGGGAGATCTGTGCAAAGGTACCCTCGGCGACACTGTGAAGTATGAGGAAATTAAGTATCTGAGTAGATCAGGCTCGATTTGAGTGTGGAGGGCGCTTCAATGCATCAAACAGGAAGAATGCACTTTATTTCTCTCTCCCGTTCTTTTACTAGACTACGTACTCGTCTCTATACTCAGCTATTCAACCGGGACTATATAGGACTGGGCCGAGAAATTTTTTTAGGTGCAAACTGTCCTAACCAAAAACTCCAGTATCAGGCATGGCAGATTTCAGGCAATATCGAGTCGCATTTTAGCAGATAGATTTCAAATCACGTAGAGAACATCGGTCTGTATCTGTTATCGTACGAAATTTGTAAGTGCTTGTTGGCAAGCTTTTCATCAACTTGAGAATGGGCCATCAAACGAGACACTTCTTAAATGGTACTGTGTGTTTCGAGGTGAACGACGCATTATACATCCTTGTTGACTTGTTACATGTTCTAAAATGAGCTCATACGATAGGTGATCCACCCCTCGTGTGAATAGCAAACGCCCACAGTTATGGAGGGAGCTTTTCTTTCCTCTCCTCTTATCTTGAGATTTTTTCAATATCACAGGATTTATAGCAGGCCCGCAAGTCAGCTTTGGTGCCGTGACAATCAGTACGTTTCCCTAGTGGTCTTTATCTATATCGTCCTTTAAACAGTTAATTATCCGTTACACGCAGTACACTGCTACCACGAGCGAACTCGACGGTATCTGAGGAAGGCATTAGAAGCGCTTGAAATGTCAGTTTATTCACGCCCTAAATTAATAAGCACACATATTTAAGCCGCTATTTAAAATATTTTGGTTTGTTCGGGGCCTTCGCGAACTGAACGGGTAAAATTGGGTGTTTACTGTCAGCGGAGGCGGGAAAGTTAGTATAGTACCATCTTTAAGCGCCGGGATGACGTTTGTAAGCACTTGAGCATATAGTCATATCTTAAAGTACTTGTTCATTCTTAAAGCGAGCTTTGATTGATATTGTATCGAAAGCTAACCACCAGTACGGCAGGCTACAACAATATTACTATAAAACTAGTCCTGCTTTAATAATTTCCGGTAACTTAAGGTCCGAAAGGCGGAACTTCAACCGCAAATCGAGCATGACAACTAGAAAAGTAAATGTAAGTATGAAAGCCGGAGATCACTAGACAGGAGATAATGGTCGAAACTCACTCTGCGGTGTTCACAGCGTCGTCCGGATCTACCAAGGCGAGTGCTTTGCAAGCTTCGACGCCGTTGGCGTGATCGTAGGTACGCAGCACCTCTGCGAAGTGCGTTGCCTCGTGGATAAGAGTGCTTTTCAAAATTTGATCAGAACTTGCCTTCCTGACAAGAGACGTGATAATTCACTTACTCCCACTGCGAACGATGCTGGCCCTTCGGCGGGACAACAGCTTCATTAAAGTACACGCTGCAAATACTCATGTGTCCGTATGTGTTAGTAGGTGTTGCGATCACAAAATCGTTTTGGCAGTCACAAGCATAACTGAATTTTGTTGCAAGATCAGGCGCAAATTTCTGAAGCATAGGTCTCAGCATTTCGTATAATGGGTCCAACTTCTAACCCATCGAGCATTTCTCACCTTGAAGGCATTCAGAACCTTGTTATATCTTTCGGTACTGAAAGCACCAAAGAAAGCTGTTTGGAGGTCACTTCCATTGGGGTTGTCCTCCAGATACTCTATGACCGTATAAGATTTGTTGGTGGCGCGATCGATAGCTGTCTCCAGCGTGGCAATCTGCGACTGGGTGCAATTCGGGAAGGTTGCTGCCAAGCTTCCCGTCAGCAGAGAAAGAGCGCTGAAAAGATGAAAACCTCGCATGATTGCTTGTGAGATTAAGCCAACAGGATTGGAAGAATCAAGTCATGATTTCAAAAGTCTATTTGGCTCTTGGTGCACATTATGTACTTGTGGAGTGATCTCGCCCCGGTTTCTTGGCGCACGTCTTTTCAGGAAGGTAGGCGGCGCGCATTGGCCAATTTCGAGATCAGGTTGCACTGTCTCGTATTGAAGATTATGCTGGCGAATTGGCAATAGCCATTCGGGATGCCACAGTCACAGCCCCTACAGCGGTTACATGATATTGGCGTGATTGCAGCTGGAATTGCTTGCTCAACGAGAGAACATGGTTCCTACACTGGGCAAAGCTGGGAAACCGACGGCTATTTTGAGACCGATATCTCGCTCTTGTACTAAGAGTTGGCGCACTTCACAGTATCGTGAATCTTCAGTGCCCCCAAAGAAACTGGTCGTGAATTGACCAGAGATAATAGTCATTCTTCGAGACATCTCTGCCTTCCCAGCGACCCACGTTTCTTCATATAAGGAAAGGACCCATCACATAAATGACTGAGGAAATATGGAAACTCGCCACTCTTGGCATTGCTCTCTACGTTCAGCTTCAAGGACGATTGCATGCATGCATATAGCACGAACAGGCGCTCGAATCAAATCAATGGCATGCCCTGCAGTTAGGTAGTGAAACTAGCATTCCAATGCGGCAGACTTGGGGCCCCTACGGAAATTGAACCGACGTAGTAGAGGGATACTCGTTCTGTATGCAACCTAGAGGTAGGAGATGGATGGATATATGGCTGCATAAGACTTCGCTGTTAGCTTTGAGCGCTAAAAGACTTGTAAGATCAGGCCAAGACTGACATCCGTTGGTGGAATGACTGTCTAATGTTCTCTGCTACAGAAGGGTCACAACATTTGCTGCTGAGTTTGTTGCATAGGTGCTCCGTAAATCTCTTGTACACCGCATCTACAGTAAATTAGATATAGCTTACGCGACCCCAAAGGCCCGAACTTTACCTTGGCTCATGAGACCTCGATTCAGGAAGTCTTGGACTCTTTCCTTGCAGACTCGACAACGGTGGTTGAGTCCGTACGTCTCGAAGCTTTCGGGGCTTAAAATAGTAATTTTCATGGTTGCAGCTTAGGTTGCCCTAAAACGCAGGCGTTGCTGATGTTTACATGGAGGTCAGCTTCTAAAGATCGTCCAAACGGGATGCTATGGGAGGGAGGCTCACGTGACACACGGTGCAACTGTGACTTCGACAGTGAGCTGATCGATAGTAGTTCCGAACGATATGTAAACGTCAGTTGTTTTGTATATCATGTATTTGATGTGAAAGGGGCGCGCTATATTTACTTGACTTGCATTCAACGCCACCTTACTGATTCTCCAATCAAGCTCCGTATGTATCATAGCATTGGAGAAGACCGTACAGGAGGCAGTGGCGATTGGCAGATATAGATGGAACGACGAGGCAGAAGCCTTCAGCAATCATTTTTCGCTTCCCAAGGTTATTCATGAACGATTGATTAATTCACCACATGGCCGATTAAGCCATGTTAAACGCCTGGCGCCGCATAATCTAACAGAGCCTATGTAGGGAAATCCAGTGCCTGACCTGGCGGCATCTTGTTGTTCTCCCAATTGACATCTTCAGTTCGATCGCCGCTCTGCACCAGTTGCATCTCGCGGACCCCGCAGAACATACCGTTGCGAGCTGTGCGTTCAGTCAACTGCCAATGACCCGGTTGTGGCCCAGTCCAAACCTCTTCCGTGAATCGCTCGCCTTCTTGTATCGTCCGATGCGGGTTGTGTGTGGGTAAACCCGCGATTTTGGTGATGATCCATTGCGGGAGCACAAACAAGCGTTCCCATCTTCGAACCCAAGGCAGCCAGCTTAATGCACTCTCGTCATATGCGACGCGTACGTATGGGTTGACGTACGTTCCAAGTTCCTTCGCCCCTTGAGTTTTGGCAGCCTGTGCAACGTCTGCAAGAAAGAGGCAACACTCGCAGGCATCAAAGAATATCTCGGGCTCGTTTCTGAATCGCACCGGCGCAGTAATCTTTTGCGGTGCCGACGGGTTAACAACATGGCTTCCAATAGCTTGGAAGTCTGGAGTAGGTAGTGTGCGGTCGAGGTTTTGCACATATTTGGCTTGCATTGCAACAATTCCGCCCCAGCAAGACTTGACGGGAACAGCATCGCTCTGAGCGAGCACTGCCGCTCGCGAAATGCCTTGACCTTGGGTACTGAAGAAAGGGAAAATCGGGATGCCACCACTGAAACCTTCAGCGTCGCGTTGGGCATACAGATCGTAGAATAGTACAGGATACATGAAATCCAGCCCACAGGCTGCAAGGTACTTGGTGCGCCCATCAACAAGGTTGGTGCTGAACAGAAGGTTTGCAGCATCAAGTGGTTGGAAAGCCACGTCGTTTAGAAACAAGATCTTGTCAAACTCCTTGACGCCCCACTCTGTTTCGTCAAACAAGTCAAGGGGCCTCAGAGCTCGATTCCGCATTTCAGATAGATACGCAAGACGCTTGACACGCTCGTTCCCATTCGGCATCGTGACTGTTGGAAATCCGTCGGTAGAGACGTGGGGGTCGCTCACGATCCTGTGACGGCAGCTAAGCCGGTCTTTGAGGCTCTCCAGTGCGCCCTCTCCTTCCGCGCCACTATCATTCTCATAGATGCTGAGGTAGACATTATTTGGTCCGATTAGATGAACAAGTTCGAGCAGTCGTCTTCCCCAAGATCCAGCGGCCAGGTGTCCACCCTGATCGTAGAGGCTCACACTGATGAAGACTTTCTCCTGGTGAGGATTGGCGCATCCACCGTTGGATGCATCAGACCCAGTGCATCTGGAGACGAGTTCGCCATAATGAGGTGGCGGCCTGGTGTACGATGGCGCGAGGATGGGAGTGGCGCATACAAGTATCAACACCAGGAACAAGGCGTACTTGATGATCCTTGAGACATGGACTCTGCGTAGGATCCTTCGCAGTCTTCGTGGCGTCAATGCGAAGTGTCTGCCACGCCTGGTCTCTTCGGTTGTCGGTAACAACGACGCGTGACTCGACTCCCAAGTGGGCGACCCCGCGTCCCACGCACCCGGTGGATTATCAGGGTCCTCCTGCGAGATAGACACGCGCTTTTCACCTGTCGAGCGACGACTTATGAAAGACATGCTCCTGTGCCGGCGAAGATCGCATCGCAGGTGGGACTAAGCTGTACGTAGTGAACGGCAAGGTTGTCCATGCATTTAGGGGGCTGAGTCGGACTAAGATTGATCCCTCCGCGAGTGCCACTCACCCGCCCTAGCGTTTGGAGGCGCCAACCAGCGTCATCTCACGCGCGCTAAAAAGAAGCTTATTTACACTGGTGCATATCGCAGGACGGCCTCAACTTTGCCGATCGGCTTGTCGTAGATTCGAAAGGATCCACGGCTTATTAGTTGGACTCCCTCGGAGAAGGCAACAAAAAGTGATTGTCTGGGTATAAACACGTGCTCGTTTTCCATCGCAGAACTGAAATTGATCACCAGTCAGCATAATATCCAACCAACGTCAACACGCGAATCAGTGCCCACCCTAATACACTTTTCAAGGTCTCTTGCTACACCAAAGCACCGAACGAGTACTCCTCTAGCGTTCTATCTATCCTCGCTATTTGCTTCCTCGCCATTAGCGGTAGCTAGCCCAAGGCCGAGATGAAACTTTTCAGGACAACAGCTGCAAACACCCTCATCCCAGGCGATGGCACCACCACTATTGAGTCTGACACATGTGACAGAAACGTTCGAGGGTATCAAAAGACTAATAAGCCAAATTCAACGTCCGCGTCTGGAATCGATGTCGGAACGCCAGAAACCTACATATTTGCCGGAAATGAGTAAAAATATGCCAATCGCCGCCACGGCCAACGGAGCTGCAGCATTTCGGAGATGGATTTTGAATACTAGAGTCCTCTGACAAGTAGAACGACCAAAGAAGCAATGCCTTCATCCTTTTGAGACATTCAAGTTATTTTGAGCTTGAAATGCCACTGGGGCGTAAACACCTAGTCTGGCCAGTGAGATCTGAGTTTTCCCATGCATCCAAAAGCATGTCGGGGGAAGACTTCCTCGGTCGGTGTCTGGATTGGCGGCGACGAAGTCCTTGGAGCACCCAGTGAGGTCAAAGTCAAGACAAGAAAGTTCGGCCCAAGTCCATGACCGAGGGACGGATGATCTGTCTGCACTGTGCTACCCAGACCACCATCCAGCATACTACCTATTAGCACACTCGGATGTATCGCAGCCGTGCTTGAGACTTCAGAAGACCTGGAGGAGCAACGAGGAGAAGTTGGGGTGTACGTCGGTGTGGACAACAGCGCTGATGTGTCTGCTGAGTGCGAAGCGACAGGAAAGTGGTTCTTAGCAGCATATGATGGAGCCGGATTATCGTTTGTGGGATCATCATCAGTGACAAGTGTATTGCTCTGCCTCTGCCCCTGTCCCTGGGTCTTGGGCCTTCTCTTCTCTGCAAGCCTCTGGAAGACGTTGCGGATGACAGTACCTACAGAATACAAGGCTGACAGTGCATGCAAAGCGATTAAGCAGAGACTCAACTTTCAATCATTAGCAGGCCTTATTATCGCACGCATTGACAGTTATCCAGGACATGAAATAACTAATTCAGCTCGTTTCTAGGGGCATTTTATCACTCGGTGCAACATTGGGCCGGAAGCGGTGGCGGTCGATACTACTCTGCCGCCTTGTAAGTTTTATGTTCGAGTTTCTTTCAAAATACGAGCAAAGCGAGGGGCAAGTTTTCGGCACGGTTGAGTTGCAGTACGAATGGTTCACATAGTGTGCCCTTAATAGCCTGGCATTGCAGGAAGAGTACAGCGTAAGCGAGAATCAACAACGAACAAGATGGTACATGTCCCACTCATCCCCCCCTTGGAGAGGGGTTCCTCGGCGAGCTCTTTCAATTCGTGCTGGTCTTGCTCATAAGTAAGTCGGAGAGTTTGTCGGACATACAGAGGTGACTTGCGTATATTGAAGAGTGGATGTTTTCCTTCGTTGGGAGACCAGAGGAGCTCCGTTGCATTAAGCCCCATTGCGCCGTTGTGCAGTTGTTCGTATTTGCGTTATTGGGGTCGCTCATATTCATGTTGCGACAGACCCACCACGAAACTGGGCGCGAATGAGACGACGGTGACATTGCACTTCTATGAATAAATCAGACTCCAAGAACGTCCCAAGTAGTGATTGGCGCACCCACTACGGTGATGAGATCAAGGCCTGATTTGTGGCGTGTTGCTACTGCCGATTGGCAGCCAACCGCTAAAGCCGTTGGCCGATCTATACGCGCAAGGCTTAGAGCCAAGCGCTAGTTAGCTTGGTCCCTTTCTGTCCGATGCGCACGTCCTATGCATGTCTCGAACTTTAAAGTTAAACTACTATATTCAGCACGAAGCCTCAGCGCCACGCCGTTGGAGCGACGCGCCTATCAGGCTATCAATACACCAGTGCAAGCTTGACCTACCGATTTATGTTTGTTTCTTATGTTATATTCACAGCAAGCGTCAATATCACTATTCAAAGATCACGGAACTTAAATTACGAGAAAAGACTCCATTGCTTCATTTAAACGACTACGATGCTCGGAATTGGGGGATCATAAGAAAATGAAAGTCCTTAACTCCTGCTGCTATGTAATTGGGTATGATCGCAAGATGCAGAATCTCGTAAAAGAAAAAAAGGCCTATATACAGCGCCGTTTGAAATAAAAAGCACAACGGCGTCCCGCGGCAACAGTTTGTTACCACGGATAAAACTGTCATAACGTGCATACCTGTCATACGAGGACCGCTCTTGGCATCTTTTGCATCGCTTCACGGACACGTATCACAGACCAACGGCAAATCGGGAGGTTCTAGGTCCGAAGCAGCCGAAATTTCCGTCTCATGATAACTGATTGGGTATTAGAATTAGAATTATAGCGTAAATAGCACAGCGGCCAGCATGAAAAGAGTGCTCATGCCCAGCTTGTACCCAGCCGATGCCTCGTAGTGGTGCGGTGCCGGTAAAGATTGGGGGTTCCAGCTGCCTGACGACTTCGCCTCGTCCAGGTTGCAAACGGCCGCATTGGCGTCGACGGTAGGCTCGGCACCGCTCAGGTTGTAAGCCACCTCGATCCATTGGATCTCGAGCAGTGCTGAGTCTCCAAGCGTCATGTTTTCCGTCCATGTACCCCCGTTACCTGTATCAAAGTATCGAGTCAGTTTACCTGTTTGCGTTTTGGCGGCACGAATGAATTACTTACCCCACATGGTGATATACAGATGGCTGGGCTCAACGGGCACATGGGTGGAGGTGTTTCCCATGTACTCCCCATCGATGTACCAGACGACGTGGTCCGACACCCAGTCCATGCGGTAGTTGACCCACTGATCCCTCGAAAGACCGTTGGGAAGACTGGTGTTGAAGTGCGTGGCGTTGATGTAGTTGCCGTGGATGTCGATACTCGGCTGCGTGTTGAAACCGACAATGTGTGGCTCATCACGGGTCAAGAGCTCGATATCAGCTTCTTGGGTGTCGTTGGCGTAGGTGAAGAAGGCGGTGCAGGCGCCAGCGGCGCCCGAGACGCGTGCCCGTACGCGAAGCGACAGGTAGAGGATCTTCTCCTCGTTAAAGTCAATGCCGCTGGACTGGTGCCTGTCCTCCTGTTGTCGGGACGTGTACAAGCCGAGGGCGGTGGTGGCACCGGGATCGGCCTCGTCCTGGGTCAGGTTTCCTACAAGGCCAACGTGTAAGCCAGCGTTCCTTTATCAAGGGTTCAATTCTCTCCCGGTCTTTCCGCAGCCATCCGGCAACGGCCCTCCCCCCTCATCCTACTTACTCGGTGCAACCTTGTCCATCTGGTAGTCAATGGGCAGCAGGTTGGATCCCTCGCCCGCATACAGCAGGCCGTTTCTGCGCTGCCAGTCCAGCGACCAGCCCATGTCGGTGGTCGAGGCACCGGCGGTGCCATTGTTGGGGTCGGATGCATTCTTGACGTACTGCCAGGTGTCCTCAGGCAGGTTCCGGAAGTCGTAGAAGCGGTAGTAGCTGTACTGCGCGGCCGCGGAGCCGTTGGTGGCAAAGGCCGAGCAGTTGGTGGCCGCTGCGGCGTTCAACAGACACGCCAGAAGAAGAAACAAGGTGCAGCCAAGGGGCTGCACCGCAACGGTGGTGCGTGGGCGCTGCATCGCAAGGTCGATATGCAGGAGTGTTCCTCCTGAAACGACTGCGTGAAAACAAGGGCGGAGTATAAAAGAGTGACAGCCTGTAATCAACAGTGGCAAAGGAGGCAAGTCCAGCGCCGGCCGTCTTCCCCAGGAGATTTTCCTTTTCTCACGCGACGAGAGTGTCGGGCTGCCCCGGGGATGGGGTTCGGGGTGGCGCCGCTTCAGGCTAGCAGCTGCTTGAAAGCTCTCTAGCGGCGCCTCGGGGGCTGCTATAGCTGCTAGGGGGCTCCTAGGGGGATCGCTCGTAACAGCGGAGTCGCAGTGCTAAATGAGCCTTGGCCACAGCTAAGTCTTCACGACAAACAGCGGGCGCTGGTTGGTGCGCAGCCTGCCTGCTCCAAATTTCTACCCACTAAAGCCTGTTCTAGTTGCGCCGTACCCGTCTAACTCGGGGCCTTGGTGCAGGCTTATTACCGTTAGAATGCCAAAATGAGATGAATGAATGAATGCACACGAGGGGCCAATTCCCTCACCTCGCTGTCGGCTTCTTATTATGTTGTTTCGCAGCGGTCCAGCGTCCACCAGCAACCGTAGGTAGGACTAGAAAATGGCGTCGAGCCGCTGAGAATTGTCCCAACTGGCGGATTCCAGAAAGCTGGTAATCTCTGGCTAACAACAGGCAGAGGGCGTGCTGTTCTTCGGCATGAACCAATGTCCCAGGTTCGAGGGGAATATGCGACGAGGGGTAGGGTGTAGGGTGGCTTGGGTAGTTTGGGCGGGTTGGTACCTGGCAAGTGGACGCGCTTTACGTCTAATCTTAAACAATGGGTCGTCTTCGCTTCTCGTTGCTTACTTTATACGGCCATGGGCGGGGTTCTGCCGTCCACGGTCGGCCTATGGCAGCAGAAACCATTTTCGATATTTTCATGGCTGATTTCGCCCAAGACTCTGAGTCTGTTGGTGCATCACGAACTCTCGATACGCACCTCTAAGCTGAAAGGGACAAGGTGTAGCACTGCCCGCCAGCTAAGAGGCCCTCACGAGGTCACCTGACGGGTCGACTTATACGGCCCTCGTAACGGTCCACAATGCTGAAAGCTGGTAAGGCTTTCAGCAGGGCTTCAGCTACCCATGTGCCACAGCAAAGCGGAGATGCCCGTGTGGGGGAGTCTGCTAGATGCAACATGCATCAGTGTTGTGCATCGTATTGTGCTGCTTTTCCATGCAACCTTCCGACGGATTATCCCCGTTGAGCGAGGTACTAGTTCCGCCAGTCGATGGAGCTAACGAACAGCGCAAGGCAAGGCCTTCCCTACTGGTCATCGCGCAGTCATGACAAACTGACATCATACCCGGCATGCCCAGCGACCATGCTGTGGGCATTCCGGTTGCTTTGGCAGGTTGCCTGGGTAGGCCACTAGCCAGCGAATGTGCCGGGGCTTCTTGGGAACACGAGAGAATCTTATTATTACTTGCATGGCAAGCTAGCTTCTCATGGCAAAACGGAGTCTGCACGCCAAACTGCCCATTGCCACGTGCCTTTGAGCGCACAAGTTATTTTTATGCCAGCAATGCCGTATAAATTCGATGTACGAGCGTGGTTCGTCCCGAGGTTCAGGCACGCCCGTACAGCAGGGCTAGTGCGTCGGGTTTCAAATCCCCCGTTACAGGTTACATGTTGAGTCACTTGTCACTTCCTGGGGATATTCTGTGCTGCACGGAGTAACATGCAGCTATTGCTACCGTAGTTCAGCCCGAGGGAAGCCCGCCCGTACAGCTTGACGACGGTGGCGCGCAACGCGAGGGTCCATATAGCGGACAGGGCCGAATGTGTCGGAGGGCGAGTCACCCAGCTGTCTAGACTGTACGCAGCCGAGCCAGCAAAAGTTTATAAGTAGATGTAACAACATGATTCAGTGCCGGTCGTGCCGTTCGCCGTGACGGATAATCGTTCTCCGACCGGCTATGGTGGCTCGGGGTTGTTGGCCCGAGTATGCACCCATAGTCGACGCTCGCAATCACTCTCTTGGCCTTTGAGGGCATTTTTAACTCAAGTGCCAAAGTCAAAAAAGAAAACAAGTCGCTTGTTCCATAGTAAGCTGTTGGATCATGAGACCGGGTTGTCCAGTGGGTCATGGTGCTGTGCAATCTGCGTAGTTACTGTGTTTGGCCCCTGGGCTACCATGCGGCCGTGTTCCACGTTACTATTGGTCTGTCGGTTTATGAGGCCACGGCTTTTCTTAGAGTCAAGTCTGGTATGTAAGCTGGGGCTGTTCGTCTGACCAGGTATACATAGCACTATGCACAGTAAGCATCGTATGCAGGCCTGATACATCGGCTCCAAGAGAGCGCGGCCGGGAGCTGCACCGAGGCAGGCGATGGTGAAAACAATGATCGCTCATAGCACGCAAAGATTGCCGAAGCTGAGGCGATCGACCTGGAGCAGCATTCGGGCCCCGGCGACACGCTTGGCACGGTCGCTGCGCGGTGGTGCCAACGTGCTGCTGTGCCGTGCTTGCCTGGGTGGTGAGAGGGGAAAATGGAGTCATTGGAAATTTTTTCTCGTCTTTTTTCCCACTCATACGAGCACCGGTCGCAGGGGCATCCTACGGGGCCTGTGCTGCGGCTCCATGGAAATAGTGGACTGTTACCTCAGAAGCGGGCCCCCGCCAGGCCGGGTCGAGTCAAGCTCAGGCACCCTCTTGGCCCTGCGCGGCCATTCCCAGGCCGTCCCCGTAGTCTGGTACCTGACACGCGGCGCCAAAACGGTGTGGCGGCCCAAGTACCTCCCTCGCTGACCAGGAGAGGGCCTATAATCCAACGTCCAACCAACCTGAAGCACCTCACCCTGCACAAATCGCAGCCAACAGCCCCCGAGGAACTCACGGGCTTCTATAATAAGTTTTTCTTGCGTAAACGGGGCTCCAGCCGAGCCTAGCTCGCGCTCGACCCCAATGGCGCGACACGATTTCCTCTCTAACGACAGATTCCTTACAGCTAGGGGCACAGCTGGCTCATAAGGCGACATGATCGAAGGATGACGATGGCGTGCCCTGGGGTTGATTGGTGGGAAGGGCGAGTTACCGGCTACCTGGGTCGTGCTCAGACAGACTGAAGAAATATTTCACGGCTTCCCTCTCGAGATTCCTCGTCCCTTGTAAATGTTTATTGTGTAAATCCCCCGGGGACTCCCCTTCTCCAGTCGTTCCCATCCCCCAACCAGTGTCCTTCGTTGATCTCTATATTCCTGAGAAATATATCCACATTCGTTTAATGAGTGCTTGATTCCACGATACATCCCCCCCAGTCCCCCACCCCCCAAAGAAAATAAACATTTCATACTCCATACCCTGAACACATCTCAGTACCAATAAGGAACACACCGAGTCAAGTCAAGATGGGGCTCGCGCGCAAGGACTCCGTCAAGGTGGCGGACGTCCTCGTCCCCCAGCGGCTTATGTCCACGAGGAACCGCAACAAGGAATGGAGACCACAAGCTGTCCATGACCAGCAGGCCCAAGATGAACAGGACCAAGAGGACGTTCAGCTTCAGCGGTGGGCGACTGTTGAACACGACGCTCCCGCCAACTCCCATGTTGGCCGGCCCCGGAAGACCAGCGACCCCATCACATTACGAGAGGCTCGCTCAGCGAGGTCCTCGGTCTTCACATCCAAGGAAGACCTCAGTCACTACAGGACCAAGCACCAATCTACAGCATCGTCCCTCTCCGTCGCCGACTCTTTCCAACGGTTCAACTGGGATAACAGCAGGAGACCCGACAATGCCGTGCAAAGTAGTGCTTCCAGTGCCTTTGATTGGGAAGTAGAGCCAGAGCATGTCCCCCAACGTTCCGGTACGGTCAAGACCATCGTGAGAGCTGTTGTTCCCGATGTCGTCCTTGACCGGGCCCGCAGTGTTGCTGGCAGGGCAAGACGAAGCAGTATCGCCGAGGTATATGAAAAGGCCAAGGTCAGGGGCAAGCAACTTGAGCGCAAGAAATGGGTTCAAATACTCTTCGAGTATACCATCTACCTCCTGCTTCTGAGCTTTATCTACTTCGTCCTGGTCGGTTTGCCCCTGTGGAAGGGAGCTGTGTGGTGGTTGTACTGGGTCGTGTCGACCAAGTTCGTTATCACCGGTGGCTGGTCCATCACGATCGGTATTGCTTTAATGCAAGTCTCCCGCAACCAGACCTATTACAATGAGCACTTAAGCTAACAAAAAGACACAGTTACGCCTTTGCACCTCTTCTCATCCTCTTCGAGAAAGAGCCCCCTATGGAGGAGCGACTCGACCGCGAGTCCATCCCCGGAGTACACAACACTGCTCTCCTCATCCCTTGCTACAAATCAGAGAACATTATCGGGCCAACGCTGGAGGCAGCTCTGAAGATCTTCCCACCCTCGCATATCTTCGTCATCGCCAACGGAAACTCGGAGACGCCACTCGACAACACCGAGGAGGTGTGCCAGCGCTATGGTGTCCGCCACATCTGGTCCAGCGTTGGCTCTAAGATTGTCGCGCAGTATGTCGGCTGCCACAAGGCGCGCCGCTTCCAGAACGTCCTTCTCATCGACGATGACTGTGCCTTGCCTCCCAACTTCCCCGTGGTCAGCGACAGACTTGTCGGCAAGGTCAAGAGCATTGGATATACGATCAAGAGTGTTGGGCCTCCCAAGGAGGATGGCAGTGGACCAACCAAGGGCACCTGGTGCCAACAAGCCCAGGACCTCGAGTACAAGCTTTCCGGCCTGCAGCGCATCTTTGCCGGTAAGGTCGGCAGTGCAACCTTCCCTCACGGCGCCATTTCACTCTGGGACCGCAAGTTCCTTGTCAAGACGTTCAACGATCACCCTGGTTATTCGGTCTCTGAGGATTGGTTCTTCGGAGACAGCTGTCGCCGCCTCGGAGGTCGCATCGTCATGTGTTCGTCCGTCTTCGTCGAAACTGAGACACCCAGCGCTGTATTCTTTAGTAGTGGGGGTTCTCGCGGTGGGTTCGGGGAGATGACCATCTTCAAACAACGATTCATGCGCTGGAACTTCTTCTTCGTCAACGGCTTGTACTACAACATGAAGTACATTATCAAGAGCTGGAGGCTGGGCTGGTGGGAGATTGGAGCCAAATTCTTCGTCTTCCAGGAGGTCTACGAAACTCTGCTCTACCTCTTCACCCCCTTTATCCTGCCCATCTCTTTCATCGTCCGTCCCGATTTCTGCGGATACTTGCTCGCCGGCACCGTGGTCATGTACTTGGTCAACGTCATCATCTTCAACGAGATTCACCTGCGTCTGCGGAAAGAGCGCATCAGCTGGGCCGTGCTCATCTTCTACTACATGCCCTACAAGCTTGTACTCACGGCCGTCAACGTTGCCAGCTGCTACTGGTCGCTTTTCAAGTATGCCAAGTACTTTGCTAAGCGTCACCCCAAGATTATCGAAGACGCTCGCGCCGTCGAGGTTGCCATGAAGGTGGAGGAGCAAGATGATTACCTAGAGAAGAAGCAGCGCGACGCCTCTCCCAGTGGCTCGTCTTCAAACGAAAGCAGCTATACACCCCACGGTCTCCCACATATGACCGCGCCGCCACCCGCGGCCACCAGCTTTTCCCGTCCTCGTCCTCGAAGACTAAGCTTTACCCCCGGCGTCGTCGACTCGATTCCTCCCTCGCCAACGAGGCCCGAGCCCGCGCGCAGAGGAGTTTCGCAGTTCGGAGTCCAAGCCAGCGACTTTGCTGCCCAACCAGCGGAGGCATTGCCTCGTAGCAGCGCTGAGAGCGGAGTTATACCCGCCGTGGCTGATAAGACCAAGCGCAGCAACAACCCATGGGCATACAGCCCGGTATAATTACTTGTGTTTAATTCTGGCGTTAAAAACATTAAAAGGAGCATATGGTCGGCCGACCCGCATCAAGGAGGTTTCATGTTTAGCGATACCATTTAACGATAGATCACTGTTTACTGTAAATACATCATATCCATTACATACACCCGCAGTACGCGTCTTCACCAGTCCCTTCCAAACAACCATCTCGCCAACTGCCATCTGGCATTCGGCTTCAATTCGGTCAGGGCGGACCGTGATCGCATCATTGTCGCACGTGTGCCGGCTCACGTCTCCCGCTCACGCGGCACAGACGGCATCGCTGGCCCAGCTTTCCTGGATCCGAATACGGTAGGTAGCTAGTAGTTGGAGCAGCCGCTATTGGCTGACGGTGGATACGGGCCCCATCGCGCACCTTGTACTCCGTACTCCGTCTCTTTGAGTGCACCGGCGTTGGAACGGAGGCAGAGGGTGCAGGGCTTAGTTAGCGGCGGCTCCCCCGGAAGCAACTCAATTCCGGCCTCCCGAATCGCGCAACCTGCCGGTATGATCGTGGCGAGGCGCGAGCAAGCATGACTCTCGGCACTCTTCACCTGAGAATTGGAATTTTTTTTCCCGCTTGCAAGATCGCATACGCAATCTGGAAACCAGGTTGACGTAGTTCAGTTGTGCGAACGCCAGCCTGTTACGTGTCATTCCAGCGCGTCCTCGCTAACTCAGAGGGAGCTAGTTTAGCAGACCCACGAAGTCAAAAAAAGATCTCGACAGCACGGCAGTTCCTGGTTCAGGGCAACTTCAGCAGCCTCGGAATTGAGCCAGAGGCAGGTTTTCGTCATCGCTCTAGCAACTAGCCACAGAAGTCCAAATGTCGTCATTGTCGTCACGCCAAACGCTAACAATTACAGCAATGCCTTATTCTAGACCTCTGCATACCTGAGTAGCAACAGCCCTAATGCCTGTCAGCCTGTCGTGGGGTCAACTGGGATGCCTCGCGGGGCCGTCCGACCGCTCATTAGTCCGTAGATCGCCAAGTTCTGGACGTCTCGGGGATTTCGGCGAGTACGGTGAGCTTACCGATGATCACAGTTTCGGGCTTCTAGATCAGGCCCGCTGTTCAGACGCAGGTTGCCCTCCCGGACCTTCGCATCCGTGGGACACAACTCGCGGCCTGAGGCCAGACACAACTTGCAGAGTCTATAAGCTTGCCACCACGAAGCGACGGCCCAAGTCTATTCAGTCTGTGTAAAGTGGTGCATAGTCGACGGCGCCAAGTCGCTTCTGACTTCCCGCAGTCTTCCATCTGCCATATATGCGACAGCGTCTCTCCCAATCTTTGTTCGTAGGTTGCCCAGCCTATGTGCAATAATGATAACAGTTTGGCCTTTCTGCGTAAACTCCTCGTCAACGATTCGGTCGATGGTCGACTCTGTGGCCACATCGAGAGAGGACGTGACCTCGTCCAGCAGAACCACCGGCATCATGCCTAAAGCTCGTAATCCGTCGGCTTTAACAAGTGCCCGGCAGATCGCAAACAATTGGCACTGTCCCACAGAAAGCTCTTGGAACAATGAAACCTTCCGATCAAGGATCGAGTGCTCCCCAGAGCCTGAAATGCCTATGCCTCCATTAATATGCTTGTTGCTCTCGACAAAGTGTGACCACAACCCCGATTTGGTCAACGCAGTAATCAGAGCATCATCAGATACTAAGTTTTCGGGGTCCAAGTTGAAGCGTATGGTCTCCTGGGGCAAAAGAAGTGGGTCTTGGGAGACCGCGATGAAGCAGCGCTGGCGTAGCAGATCAAGCCTTATGTTCTTGATATCAATGCCATCCAGCGTGATCTTACCAGATCGAAGCTCCAGAAGTCTGAGCAACGTTAACAGCAACGTGCTTTTTCCACTTTTATAACGAAGTGAGCTTCGGAAGATGGATTTCCTATACAATGCTTGGTAACGTACCTGCCTGTGCGCCCGCATACGATGAGTTTTTGACCTGAACTGACATTCAGGCTCAAATCTTTAATGGCAACAGACTCGGGACTTGGTAGAGCACCTGTTAGTAGAGGATAGCGATAGTTTTCTGAGGGGTTTCGCACTGATATTCGGCTGTTATGGCTTCGAATACAATATGCCCACTGGAAGGCCAGTTTTCAGGTGGTTCGATAGTCGGGTTCGCTCCACCGTCAAGCGGTGTGGTCTTTTCCAGTGCCTTCAGGCGAGCAATAGCACCGAGTGAAACCTCAAAAGTGGTCCAGTTCTCCACGAGTTTAAGCAGCGTTGTGTTTGTGACGAGCATAATGTTTAGTGCGATTCCGATTTGTGCACCGCTAACATGCTCTCGGAATGCTACAGCTATAGCAATAGCAGTTGTTGCTACACCTGCAGCCAGAAGATCTAGGACAACATTGAGCCATCTTTGAAGACACAAAAGAAGAAACTCTGGGCGCTGGGAGCGTTCGACACTCTGGATGTTGTTCTGAATAACAGCTTGGGACCAACCAAAAGCACGTATTGTTTCAAGACCCTCAACCTAATAGCATGTAAGCAGACCCCCTTGCCTGAATCGGGACATAGATACACACAGATTCCAAGAAACTCGACAAGACGCTTGCGCGAGCCTGCAGCTCCAAATATCGCAGCTGTCTTGACGTTCGAAGATAGACCTTCTGCACTATGTAAACCAAAAGCATACAGACCGGAAATAGCATAACGAGCCACTTTTCTGCCACGTAAAGCATCACAATCTGCATAGCCAGCTTGCACAGCTCTGATAATTTAATTAGCTTGAATTCTTGGAGAGATATACGCTTGAAACCTACGAGTCACAATGGTCTGAAGTGCCGAGGGCAATTGCTTGTCAACAATCTGGACGTCTTGACTGAACCTAGAAATTGTCAATCTTAGTCAGGCTCGAGAAGGGTGTGTTCTCACCTATTCAGGATTGAACCAACTTCCGTTTTAGAGAAGAAAGATAACGGAGCGCTGTCCATGATTAGCTATCTGAATTCTTTTAAGAGTCACGTAAGCAGCGACACAAACCACGTAACGATATCTAGAAGACGTTGATGTAGCCTTAGCCCAGATTGTGGAGAAATACGGATGAGGACAGCCCTTTGAGAAGCAGGTTAGCCAGGACAGCCTGGTTTGGCCAGTAAAACCTACCATGCTTGAGTGCTGGTCGTAATCCAGGCCACTGTGGAAAGAAGGAAGTATCCACCGACGTAGAATGCAGTGTGGCTATTGCCTGACTCAGTCCACAAACGAAGCCAGTATTGAGGGACTGTGATGCAGAAAGAGTGCATAGAAGTGACGCTGACGAAGTACAAGAGGTTGACGCAATCAACGAAACCCAAATAATACCCTGATGAGTTGTTAGGCTAGTCACAGCGCCGGAAAATAGGGGTAAAGAACCGTATAGAGCAGTGTCGCCTGTTTGCCTTGCCAAATCTAGTTCAGTATCGTCTTTAGCCCGCAATTGGGCGCTGAGTTTATCATAGTTGGCCGACAAGATGACGTTTTCCCTGCTAGTATGGCTGGAAGAGAACTTTGCTATGGATGTAGCTTTTGTGTTGATATTTTGCCAGCTCCCTTGGTCAACGATCCCGCGATTGCCAAGAACCACTATGTGATGCGCAGCTGGGAAGAACTGCGCTATTTACGACTAAGCCAGTAATCAGACAGTTGAGCAGGGTGGACTAACTCACCGGAATTAGAAACGAGGACCACGGTAGTACCCAGCCGCCGCAATAACCCGGACGGCCCAAATAGGTTGTTGAAAATAGTCCGCTCGGTTTCACCATCAAGGCCACTAAAGTTGTCGTCCAGTAGAACGATATCACATCTTGCAAATAGTGTACGAGCAAGTGCCTGAGAGTATTGAGCATCGTGTCTTTCATTCGACGAGCTCACAAGACATACCACACGCTGTCTCTGTCCCCCGGACAGATTAAAACCCCTACTGCCAATCTGTGTCTGGTCCCCATCGGCAAGTGACTCGAAATCATGAGTGAGGCTACACATATTGATCACATCATCATACCATTTTTCAGACCGCCGGTCACTCGAGTCGTATATGTTAGTACCACCACAGATGGCTTCCTTGATTGTGCCACTAGGCAGCCATGGTATCTGAGCGCAGTATGCTATGCGTTGCGTCGTCGAAGAGACGAACCCATGTGTGGGTGTTATCTCTCCAAGGATTAAGCGTAAAATGGTAGATTTGCCGCTTCCAGTAGGGCCGGATACAATGGTTAGTTTTCCGGTAGCTACCTCAATGTTGATGTCCTCTAGAATGACTTGTGGATGGCCAATAGTTACTCGACTTATCTGAATATCAGGACCGGTCGTCGGTAGTTGATTAGAGATCGGATTCCAAGCCAATTCGCTCGAAGGATCTTTCCGTAATGCTCTATTACTGACTTGTAACGGTGACCGAAGTAAGAACGACTGAATCCTTTCAAATCCTGAGAGTGCTGAAACTACACGGGGCGCAAAGGTCATTACCATGTTTGCGGGATGTGTTACCATACTCAAGATAGCTACAGTGGTGAATGCAGTTTCCGTGTCCAAGCTGCGGCTATTGGCCGCGGATATTACTGCGAACAAGACCAGCGTGATTGCCGGGGAAAATATCCCAAGCGCATTGGCTATTGGTCGTTAGCTTGTACGGCATTGTCAAGCTCTTCGGCCTTATAACAAACCCGAAGCATTGTAGTACACCATGACCCATCTTAGTTTTGAGGCTGCGCGAAGTTCGATTTCCCGAAGTTTCTGGATCCGACGACTCAGGTGGTTGTGGAACCCCAGCATCTTCATAACTTTCATCATCCTAAGCGCGGAGCTTGTAGCAGCTATGCGATCTTGTGTTGCATTATTCCAAGCCTTCTGGCCAGGCTGCAGGTGTTTGGCGACAAACCGACTCATATGAGAACATACTATTCATGTCAGTATCAATGCATGGCGTTGAGCAGTAAGTTACTCACAGTAAATAAGAAATAGTGGAAGTGGCCATATCCACCCGACCTGACTAGCTAGAAGACATATGCCAATGAAGACTTCTACAACCTGAGCCCATATTTCGTGAATCATTTCTGCAATCCCATCGAGGTTATCAGCGTCAGTGCTCATGAGTGTCGTAGATGCACCATCATCATATGCGACGCTAGCTAGCGTCATTGTATGGTCATGGATAAGTCCTACTAGAGCGCTTCTAGTCATGAGCTTGAGTCGGTTAAGAGAATTCTGGTACGCAGCTGCCGAGAGCTAGGACTGAATGTTAGGACATGAAAAGAGTGTATCAATCTTGCAGCTTACGGCAATGCCAACATAAATCATCACCGCAGATACAACAAGCCAGTATCCGCGGAAGCTCTCCGGGGGTGCAAGGGTCGCCGTAGCGTATATGATGGCCTGATGAATCAAGATAGGCTGAGAATAACGGAAGAAGATCAGCAATAGTCGCGGCACAACAGCAGCCAAAAATGGAGACTTCAGGCATCTCATTAAAGCCAGGGGTAAACTCCTTCGGGTTTCGGGTTTGGCTGGTCTAGTGAGCAAGAGGTAGGGATCTACAAAGTTCTTGGTGGTTGCTGGCTTACCTCGATTAGACCATGTCTCAATCATCGCCTTTCTTGTAGACTCTGGCATCATGTCTCGGTCGAGAGGTGGCGTATCTGCTTGCGAGAATAGCTTCCGATATCCCCGAAAAAGGATTGGATTAATCCATAGAAACAAGAGGCGGCTGAAGAGGCCATGGAGCTCCTGGGAAGATCGCTTCTTGGCACCAACTACATTGGCGGCGCGTTTTGTGCCATATTCAAAAACCAACAGCGTCAATTGCACATAGAAGTGAACAAGTATCAGCCGGGCGATAGTCATATACCTGTGATCATGTAAGGGGAGTGTTAGATAGACAACATCGCACAGTACAGAGGCGAGAAGGTATGGCATGACTACGCCTGAAAGCATATGATACTGCTGCTGCTGCAGGATCAAAAGTAGACTGTAGCCCAACGCAGCAATTGTAGAGGCAAACAGGGAGAAGCAAGAAATGGCCTCCTTTTGACCGTCCAAGCTCAAAACATTTCTCCAGTATATAAACAAGAGAATCGAGAGTAATAGCCCGAGAGCCTAGCGATATGATTAGGCTCAGAGAGAAGCTCAGATCTTCGAGATGGGAGACACTGAGATACTAACGGCCTTCAAGCGTCGTTTCCATGGCGGAATATGCCTAACGCCAGAATTGCGAAGCTTCCAAAGTCTCACGGAGAGAACCAATGAGAAGATTGCGGTACATGCTATAGATATAAGATGTATAAAATCCCCGGGCCGTGAAGTCATTGTGGCTGGCTGTGATACGATGCCGATGGTGTGCAGTGAGGATGAGTTTATTCGACAAGGTGCGGTTGGAGAAAGGAGCTAGTTCTAACCGAATGGCTCCCTTGTTTAGGGTGAAGCCCCACAAGGGAACTCCCGCCCACCAGTTACTCCCGCTCAACATGCGCGACAGCGGGGTATTTTATCAACAGCCCTGACCTTGCACAAGTCTGGTATTTCTTCTTCCCGCAGGCTTTTACCATTGGGAAACCTTGAAAGTACCTCAATGGTGCTAGTTCGCAAGTCCTATCTGGCCCCAAAGTCAACTTTGAGACACTTTCGCGGATGGGGTTGAAACAGCGTCGCCACCAGGGTTATTGCTGTGCTAGGACTCGCCGGCTCCTGCCTTGAGCCCGCTTGGAACGTGGCCGGCCCTTTGACATTGGGTCACAGAGCTTCAATCCCTAACGACATCGCTTTGGACGTTGAATGACGGTGTGAACATGCCAAACACATCTAGAAATTCATGAAGACGACGAGCCCCGGTCCCTACATATGCCTCTAGAACGGGGGGCTCTGCCTATCTAGTAGCCTCCAAGTAAGGAGAAGCAACCCTATCTTCGCAGTGAGTGCTGCACCAGCCCGAGTTGTATGGAAGGAGGGTACCCAGCATACCCAGCAGGTTCATCAGGCTTGTTGGTGCCACTATAATCTACCTATGCGACTCAGATGATTAGGTCAACTCCTCCCAATGTTTCCCTCGTGGCTGGAAAACCAAATTCGGCCCTTCGTGGTCTGCCATAAACCAATCGTAAAGCTGGTACTCATTTGGCCGATCTCTCCCCCCAGTCAAACCTTTTCGTCCACTTCCAAGTTCCCCCGCCTGCCCTGGAGCCCTCTCGAAGTCGAAATACCACATCGTCTTGGCCACAGTCAGGCTCATTTCGAGGTAAGCCACAGCCTTGCCTGCACAGGAACGGTCTCCCAGGATGAAGGGGATGAAGGCGCGTCGCATATTCGCCCGTGTCTCCTTTTGTTCGGGGGTCTCTGCATCTCCTTCCAACCAGCGCTCCGGACGAAAAGCAAATGGCTCCGGGAAGTAATCGGGATTGTGCATCAAGCTATAAGTGCCAACACCAACCAAGGTTCCTGGCGGTATGACGTGCCCATCCACAACGAGAGGCTCGTTAGAGAGAGGGTCCCTCTCACGCCACATCACGCCTGGTGTTGGAGGACAGATGCGCATTGACTCGTCGATGACGGCACGGAGATACTTGCAGCCCGTGAGGTCTTGTCCATTTCGGATTTCACTGCCCCATGAAAACGTCGTCCGCACCTCGGAAGCGAGTCGGGCGTAAGCTGACGGGTTTCGTGAAAGGTAATAGAAGATCGTACACATAGCCGTCGCTGTGGTAGTTCCACCTTTGTGTAGAAGGGTCGTTAGCACCAGTAAGCAGTGTGACCAGTCGCTGACTTGCCTGCATTGACAAATACCCCTGCCTCGCCCCAGATTTCGCTTTTCCGAATGCCCATCTGTTGCGCCTGGTCAATCCTCTCTTCACTTGCAACGAATGAGAAGAGATCATGTTTAGCGTCTCTGGGCAACGCCATGCGATCAGATATCATCCCTGTAAGAGCCCTACGAAACCTCTCGATGCGTCCCCTGACTAGCCATTGCACACCCGGATCAATCTTGTGCGTTTTTGGCCAGTTCATGAACATATACACTCGGGGATTGAGGGCAGCGAACACCTTAGGCAGAAATCGCAGTGTCTCTTCCGTCTGCGTCTTCCAAGAAGCACCAAACGCAAGGAGACCTATAACATCCATGGCGAGCCACTTGCAACGCGATGTCATTTCAACAACCTGTCCCTGCCGGCTGGAGTGCAGAAGCTGCACGAGGAAAACGTCAATCTGAGACATCATAGTTGGTTCGAATTCGCGCATTGAGCGTTCAGATATGGCTTGCCCGACGACCCTGCGCCGACGACGATGGTCTGCTCTATCAAGGGCCGTAAAGACGCTCGGCGTGTTTCTGAAACGGGCATTCGCATAGATTCGAGCCTTTGCAACTCGAGGGTTCAAATATATGTCTAGCGTAACAACCATGCTTAGTCTTACGCCGGTGTGGGCGTATCAGAGATGATATAGTGCACGGCATTGACACTCACCCTGGATGGCAGTCAAGGTGTTGAAAACGAGTCTGTTCGGAGCTTGCTGGACAACAGGGCCTACGAAAGGTTAGGAAAACACATGACTAATTCGCCTATAGTGCACAGACAATCGTGACCTTACCATACTTAAGATGATCTCGGTATGTAACGAGATGGATATCTCCCTTTATGGCGTGCCAACCAGCGTATCCGTTTGTAAGCCGGGCCAGGAAGGGACCCGGATATGCCTTAAGAGGGTTGAAAACCAGACGGGAGCCCAGGACAACTAGAAGCTGATGAGAAGCAAGAGCCGGTAGTTAGTAGCAGTAGTTCCACCAAAAGGATGAGATCGTACCAGGGTAATGACGCAGTACGCGGCATACTGGAATATGGTATCCATGGCGTGGTCGCAGTAGTACAGTATAATGCGTTGGAAAGTGTAGAAGTGCACCGAACGACGTTCCAGACGCTGTTGGGTCAATAAATGTTACATTGTCAAGGCAGGGAGGCTGTATGTCAGCTGTTTGTCACTGCCCGCCCACAGGCAGAATGTGCGCGGGGTATTTTTTCTTCATTCCCTTGTCTACTGTTGGTTGCTGCAAGAGATGATCTCGACCCTGGTCGTCGGGCCCTTCACAATTGAACCAGTTCATGCCTCACTTCATCTGGCAACATTTCCCACTGCCCTTTCAATTCCACCGCTATTCATGCAACCACCGGGCCCTCATCATGTTCTTGTATCGGAGAAGAAAGCCGAAGGAAGCTTGCTTGCCGGTTCCCAAGCCCATAGCAATGATGCGACCGTTTCAAGCATTCAGAACCCCAAAGAGGAGGACGGCAGAGCCACAGACGTCCACGCCAGCACTGGTCATCTCCACGGCCTACGCCTGTGGATGGTAACCACTCTTAATGCCACCATGCTCTTCCTGGTACAGACGGAAATCTTTATTGTGACCACGTCACTGGTCGCTATCGCCGGGGAACTTGGCAACTTCGACACAGCGAGCTGGATTCTGGCCAGTTATTTCCTGGGCTATGTCAGTGAGTATTCTCCTTGGCCCTGGAAGACCTTATGAGTGGCGATCCTAAGTCGTGATGTCGATAGGTTTCGTTGTCATCGTGGCGAAGCTGAGCGACATCTTCGGCCGAAAGCCAGTATACGTCCTGTCCATCTTTATCTTTACCCTCTTCTCGGGCGCTTGTGCCGCCGCTAGAACTATGCAGCAGCTGTAGGTCGTCATTTCGTAATCCTCTAAGACCTATAACTACAGTCACAACATGTGGCTAAATTCCCGCGGTGGATACCGTGCAGTATTATTCTACGCGCCTTTCAGGGTTTGGGCGGTGGTGGTAGTTACGCTCTTGCCACCATTCTTACCATCGAGATTGTGCCCCCGGAAAAATATCCAGTCCAAATGACCTACATGGGTATCGCAGTCATGCTAGCCTTGGTCTTGGGGCCCATAGCTGGAGGCGGTACCACCTCTGTAACAACCTGGCGGTGGATATTCCTCTTCAACGTGCCAGTCGGCGTCGTAGGTCTCGCATTGGCCGTTGTGGGCATTCCGCCTGGCTTCCCCCATGACCAAAAGTCAGTTCACCGCAGCAAATTGCCACCGCCTTCCCGACCTCTAGCCAGGCTAGACATACCTGGCTGTGTGTTGCTTCTTCTAGCTACCATGTCTATAGCTGCTGCCTTCCAAGAAGCCGGTTCACGGTTTTCATGGGGCTCTGCTTACTTCATTACCCTTTTGGTGGTCTCTTTTCTGCTCTGGCTTGCACTTGTGATCTGGGAACGTCATGTGACGCTTTCAAACGCCATCCGTGAGCCCGTTCTGCCTTGGCGCTTTCTCACCAACCGCGTCATGATGGGCGCATTGCTGTGAGTTACCTCTTTTCTGAAAACTTCAAAGTGGTTTTGTCATCACCGCCTCCAACAAGCTATGTGCTCGTGATAGACACTAACACCCGTCCAACCAGGGGTATTATCCTTCAAGGTGGACCTTTAACTGTGACGAACCTACAAATTCCTCAAAGATTCCAGCTGGTGAGCGGGCTGTCCAGTTTGGACGCTGGTGTGCGACTTATACCATTTGGAGTTGGACTCTCAGCGGGGACAATACTCAGCGCCAATATGGCTAGACGATCTAAGGTACCACCGGTCTACTCTGTCATTGTCGGGGCATTACTGCAAGTTCTTGGTTATGCACTTCTGGCTTCCAGTGGGTCATACGTCGCCGTTCCCCCTGCCGTGTATGCGTACCAAGTCATAGCTGGTCTGGGCTGCGGTATAAGTTTTCAGACACTCATTCTGGCCATTCCCGCTGTGTCTGAGAAGCGCGATCATGGTGAGCACCAGGCCCACTCTGCATCGAGTCTTCTCTAGTGTCCAATGACTAACTGATGCGCATGTAGCTGTCGGGATGGGGGCAGCGAATCAGTTTCGCGCTATTGGCAGCACGATCATGGTGGCTGTGACCACGGCTCTCTTTAACGGCTTTGTCTTTCCTCAGCTGTCAGCGCTGGGAATGTCTGATCCTAATCGTGTTATAGAAACATACAGTCAGAACGAGAAAGAAATATCGCCAGAACTATGGGAAGAGGCAAGACATATTCTGTCCCAAGGCTACAGTCGCCAAATGTACGCCCTCGTCGCCTGCGGCGCCGCTCAAGCTGCCGCTGCGTTGCTTCTATGGAAGAAAAGTACGACAAAAATCCCTGTGGAAGATGGTGATGCAAGTTCAAGACAAGGTCCCAAAGAAGTCGGAGAACGCAGCGCAGGCAAACTCACCGCCCCCTAGGTGTCCATCTAATGAGACGGGCTTCATGAAGCGCCGAGTTCGTGGTTTACCGTCGCGGCAAAGAGCTTTGTCTGATGTGCTGGTGTAATTGTGGACTGACATTTCGAGGTCAGAGGGAACAGAGTGAGATACATCAGAATGCATGAAACGTAGTTCCGAAACATCCTGTCGCCTAAAGCTACCCAACGGTTCCCCGTCATTTTTGCGCTATATTAATCCTACTTCAACTGCTTCGATAAGCTTTATTGTGAAAAAGGTCTTACGAGATGTAGTTTTAAGACTCACCGTCCAATTTCCAATACCCCTTCCCTTCAGCCTCCCCAGGCTGAGTTCAAAGATCCCGTCAGACGTCATCGAAGATGAGATTATTCATTTCAGCATGTGTCAGAAAGAAATGTAGTCCAATTCAATTAATCCACCTCCTAGTTAATGGACTTCAGGTCACTGGCGTCACTTGTTTGCTTTCGGTCATATCGATCCTTGTCTACTGATGGGTCAAATTTCCCTGACCTCGAGGCCGCCAAGTTATATCAGGACGATAGCGACCTTTCCATGCCAATGCGCGTGATATCATGTTGATGTATGTTATGTTATACATGCGAGACTGTGTCAAGAGGTGTAAGCTCTAGTCCATTTCGCCAAACTGATATACGGTATATGTCAGCGCAGTGTTTTCGATCTTCGCATTGATGTGTCGCGCGACGAACCCCCAAAACTGTAGTGCCAACTCTACGATTGCTTGCGCTTTTGTGCGGTGTGATGGCTTGATCAGTACAGGCCCTATGCGTATTGCCATATCGCGAAGCGATTCTGCAGTGAAGACTACTTGTAGCTCATTGCCATTGTCAACGGCAGCGAAGGTCATGGCACTTCGGAGGCCGGTCTTGACGCATCTTGCAACCTGCTCTGCATCACTATCGTCGCCCTTACAGAGCTCCAGAGTTCCTCGCACTTCTCCTTTGATCCTACAAGCAAATTCGCCTAGGCAACTTACGCGCGTCAGTTTGACTGACATCCCCAATATAGAGTCTATGCATGGCGCAACATAGTGAATCGCTAGGGCACAGCTGCGCTCTACGCCCGCAAGACGTTCTAGGAAGAACTCAACTGTCTCAGGGGATATATGAGGCATTGTAATGAAATGAACCCAATTGCCTTCTGGCCTCAGCGAGAATTCCTCAATTAACCACGCTGGAGGCCGTTCAAAGACAGTAATGATGCTGTCTGCATTCCGTTTTGTTGCGTACCCGAGCTCACGAAGACGGTGCTCTAACCGTGTTGCGTTATCGAGACAATAGTCGAACATCACTGCCAGTTCTTCTTCCCGGTAGACCTGGCTGTATATCCAGGTTTCGAAAACCACTCTTGGGTCAACACCATGTGAAAAGGATACCAGATCACTGTCAGGACTGTAGGCTATCACCTCGCCTGAGACCATGTTGCCAAGAGCCTTGTGGTGGCTTAAAGTAATCCCTTGAACAGCAGGCTGGCCGTCGCACCCTGTCGTTCCTGGAGGACCAAGTGAGAGACTTCCTCTTCCGAAGCCAAGATCTAACGCCCCATCAACGTGAATATAGGAGATTCTTATGCCCACATTTCTGAGCTCGCGTTGAATTTCCGCAATGTCGTCTCGAGCGCCAACGAATGTAGTCCCCATATTAGCAAACAGTATCAGGCTGTATTCCAGTCCCTTTCGGAGGCAGATCTGCTTGTCAAGAACAGCTTGCTGAACCAAGAGGTTAACAAGTATCGAACCCTTCGCGCCGCAGGGGATCTGGTGGAAGCGAGAGACCTCCTCCTGCGACCATCTGTTGGTAAGCCTATCGCAATCCCTGAGTGTCTTGATCACACTATAGTGGGATTCGGCTGAGAAGTATACGAAGGCGCCTGGAGACTGCTTCAGTGCCGCATGTATCCCGATGCGGTTGCCCATCGTGCTGCCGTTAGTGAACGCCCCTCGGAAATCATGTCTCATTTGCGGAAGGGATATCCCGAATGAAGCCATCCGAGCATCGATAATCTCAGTAGCGCGTGAGCGTATCCAGCTCAAAGGAATGTTGACGTCCAAAAAATGCCCTATCACGGGCCCAAGGGCCGAGTAAGATCCCATGTGAAATGGATAGCCTGCTGCAGATCGTGTTGCCACCTTCCACGACTGGACAATGGCCGTGAGCTCTTCTTTGACACTTTGTTCAATGGGATACAAGAGTGTGAAGTCTTTATCCGTGCTACTATCCCGACTCATCGTCATCATCTCATTTGAAGGGCCTTGGCATATGGTAGCGATGTCCTCTTGTGTAATACCAGCATGCACTGTGATTAGAACTTCCTTCATACCCAGGGATCTGCCACCTAATCGTAAGAGTTGCTCTTCGTATTGAATAGGGCATCTTTGGACAATTAGATCCAAGGAGTAAGGGGGTTTTATCACCAAACATTTGGCGTATTCGAGACTTTGCGCCACTGCACTCCTCATTCTTGAACAATGCTCGTACATCTCACAAAACCCCCTTTCTCCAAATCTGGCCTCATGCAGCGCCAGCCAAAGCGGAGCGAGAGCGTCTCGAGAGCCAGCAAGGGTCGAGTCCGAAGCGCGGGTGTAGGCTATTCTTGCATGCTTGCCTCCGAGAGTTCTTGGTTTCAGTGCCGCCGTAGCTGCTGACGGATGATCAGAGCTTCCTGCTACGATAGTGCTCGCCAGGATAATGCCATTTTGAGACTGAATTGGTAGGTTATGGGACTTGTTCCGAAGCTCAAATGAAAGGATTCCCATTTTCCGCCTAGTTTCTTCTGTCATGGTTGTGATATAATCGAAGTTGCGTGACATGTCTAGGTGAAGCAGTATATCCTGCTTTAAGGATAGTTGTTGGATCAATCCTAGGTGGTCACAACCCCCATTGATAGTTGCCAAGGTCGCTGCAAAAATGATAGGCCGCGATTGACCACCTGTAGCAACTTCTAGAGTTTTCGTGGTGTACTCAAGACCCTTGGAAAGATCCAAGTGACACGTTTCCAGTCCAAAGAATATCTCGGCCGACTCGATAACGTCATATGAGAATTTGTCGAATACAAGCAGCGGCGGACTGTTCGGAAATTTCTTTCTCAGCTCTTGTTGAATAGCTCTAAGACAGAATAGGTGCCCCTCATGGGAATTGCAGACATATCCTGAAGCGTTCGCATCACCGACACGAGAACCTTTGGCTTGGATCACAGCTCTCTCAAATGACTTGAAATGAAATGGCCAGCTTGTGTCCAGTTCGTCAGGCATATTGATCTGATTGTTGTGCCAAGGCAAGCCAGATTGAGCTAGAGTACGTCCTGTATCAAGCCAGATCGTGTCATTGGTGAGCTGAAATGGGGCAATCGGTCTGGAAGACCACTCTGCACGTAATTGATCGATCTTTCCGAGTGCCTTGTGAATAACATGATGGGGGTTGCGCCATTTCTTGGTGATTGGGTCATCAATCCATTGAGATTGAGCTGCCTTGAAATTGTCGCGAATGACGGTGCTTTGCACTTCCTCAATACCTGTGGGCACCAAGACTGTTTTAGAGCCTAGCAGCTCAGGGCTCGTTGCAGTCTCGCTCTCAGACTCTGGATCTGATAATTCGGTAACTGAGGCAGTGCACAGTTCTTTAACTGATGTTTCTATCGGAGATGGTCAGGCCCCATTGCTTGCATGAAAAGAGAATGAAGCTCACCAATGGTATGTGTCTTTAGGTCCATCACCAGTACTCTAGACATTTCATCCAGTGTCTCATCGCCTTCATTTAGATGAGACATGAGAGGAACATGCATCGCAGTTTGTTATGCAATTGTGGAAATGTAAACGGATCAATACTTTGGAGGAGCACCACTATCAGTAGATTATGCGTCGACGAGGTTCTTATAGATATCAATGCAAAACCAGGGCCTTGTTTATGACTAGCGATAAATTTCTCGGAACACACCCAGGTCCACCTATTCCTTGCTTCATACTTCTAAATATAGCAAATTGAACTGGAGTCTTTCGAAACAAAGACTGCAAGCGTGGGACTACTATATTGTCTCTTTCAATCAACGAGGGTCTCCACTCATGCATTCACAGTCACACCCTGTCTCCTCATGCCTGTGGTCACTGGCCATCTCTTCGGAATGTCATCGCAGATAGTTTTGGGTCTACGTAAGCTCGAATGGACTTTTGGAACATGGATTGACAATGTTCTTTGACACAAAACATCAGGGACATTGTGACAAGGCACATAAGGGGTTATACGACTAAGCTGATATCTTCGGCCAATCGCTTACCACGTTGTCCACATTGGAGGCCGGCTTCATCCAATAAGCATCACCCTGTCGACTTCTGGAGGTTATTTCGCCGCTTGGAAGTACACTAAGACGTCTCCGTGAGGGCGGTCAGGAGTCACACTTTGCTCTAATGATCCAATCATGCAAGTGGGAATAGCGGCGTTGGTCCTATGTAGCCCCCTATTACGCTAGCTCCTGAATCCTTCGCGGTACGTGCTAGCAATTCCAAGACGCGATGAGTCTCACGTCAGACACGGACTAACTGTTTGTATAGAGAGTATTCCAATAGAATCATCACGGGCTACTGCTTTGATATCGTGATCGTCACATCCTGCGCCTCGGCGGATCGCACGTCTAATCCTCCACGCGATTTGCTGCAACTATTGGTGGTAATTATAGGACCCACGTAGCACTCGGCGCTTAATTCCCTAACAGTTCGGGGCGGCCCTTTCCGAGGGTCTGATGGAACGCGCTCGGCATTCACGATTCAACCTGGCGTGGACATGACTTCAAGAACAAAGACTCGCGAGGAATCAAATATATCACCGATCAATGTCTTCTACTAACTCCAGTATCATTACCTGTCTATGCTGACATCTCCATCTTTCGTCCATGGTGCTTAATTCTGACCATCATGCCAGTAAGCACAAGTGTTCCCCATGCCCCTGCCGGCTTCCACATCCGGGAAGCCAATTTGAGAGACGTCGAGGACCTGACTCGGCTCTGGTTCTCGTCGTTCAACCCATCCCACAAGTTCTGGGATGTAGTGACACCCCAAGACCAAGCAACACGGCAGTGGTTCATTGATGTGTGGGCCATGGGCATTGCAGCTGGTCCGGAAGTGTTGAGGACGTGGGTGGTGGAAGACCTGGGCCAGGATAAGCGACTTGCCGCGTTCGCTCGCTGGAGCGTACCTCGCGCAGATGGACTACAGGACATTCCTCTGCCCGAATATCCCAAAACGTGGGATCCCGAGCTGACGGCGGCGTTGTGGGATGGGATGCCGCGGAATCGCTCCGCAGTGATGGGTGCAAGACCACACTGGAGTGAGCTCAACAATTGGTCAGGTATCAGGTCTTATTGTCACTAACGAACTCGCAGTGCTTGAATTTCTTGGCGTCGATGCAGAATACCAGAACAGAGGCCTCGGGTTCGCGTTGGTGGACTGGGGTTGCCGGGAAGCTGACTCTGCAGGGCTTGAGGTGTACCTTGATGCCACCATCAGAGGCTTACCATTCTACAAGAAGAATTTCGGTTTCGAGGACCGTAAGGTTCTTGATATACCAGTGCGGCCGGACTCCTTTGGAACGTATGAGCTGATGGCCGTCGTGCGAGCAGCTCGTATAAGAGAGCTCACGTTGCTGCAGGAGAAGTCCGGTCTTCAGGGAACCACTATCGAGGTTATGGAAATTGTTGAGGCGTAACACAGTATTGGCCATCATGTCAATGTGCCCGGTGTGTATTATATACTGTGATACTCCCTGAGACTAGACGACGACCTTGGCCAGGTACCAGGTTAATTAAGACATATATCATGCAATAAGACTACACAGGTGACTGCGCCGCATCGAAGGGTCACAGCATCTAAAGCGCTAATACTAAACATGGACAGCCCAAACCAGGTGCATGAGCAGTTCACTCGGCTTGTTGAACTGGAAGAGGCATGGCACTAGTTGTTGGCGCCGGAGGAGACGAGATCTGAATGTTAGATAATTGTGTAAGCTGTCGCATCTAAGCCGAGTTCGTCGCAGATTTGGTTATCACTGATACCAGGTGTGAAGTAAAATGAGTGACCTGCATTGAGCTCAGCGCCTCGCTATATACAATTCCAAAGTCAATGACCAACTCCTAGTTCTCCCCAGTGCTTCCCCGCCGATATATATACTCCGACCCCTTCTAATGATGATCTATAATCTATTAATGCTCCTTGTCCATCCAAGTCTAGACCCATCGATCCAATGCACCGTCGCTCGCTCGCTTGTATGTGATGAAAAATGATTAAACCCCCAAAATCAAAACCCAGAAAGTATCGAGACCTGAAACACCGTACAGTTCTGTCGTGTGTGTGTGTGTGTGATTAGAAGGTGAACAACCCACTGCGCCGTTTTCCAAGTGGGTAAATCAAAAGCGTTGCGAAAAACAGGCCGACAGTGATACCGACGGCGATTTCAATCATACTGGCGGCAACATTGAAAACGATAGTGTCCAGCGAGGCGTCGGCTGATGTTGAACTGATCTGGACGGTCGTTGTGCCATTCACCATCTGTGTAGAGTTTGTCAACTCGTTCGCTGTGCTGAGACCACTCAGCAAACTACCCGTAGCCGCAAGTCCGCTAGGCACTTGGACGAAAATGGCGGGCAGCAATGCAGCAGCAGCAACACCGTGTCGGAGTCGACTGTACAGGTTTGCACAAACCCCAACCGTCAGTGCTCCAAGCGTATTGCTGATCTGAGCACTGTTGGGGAACCTGAGACTGGTGAAGTAGTTTACGACATAGCCGGCCATCGCGATGGCAATCTAGAGTTGGTTAGTGACTGGATTGAAATGTTTTAAAAATAGAGAACTTACCATAACTGGCATCTGCCTCCACTTGGCTTGGTTGATGTAAGTCAAGCAGAAGGCGAATGCTGGGACGAAGATGAAGTTCCATCGAGTGTCCAATGTGTTACTGCATGACGTGCTTGACGTAGCATTGGGGTCCATCCAACCGTAAATAGCGGTGCCGATAGTGATGCCAAATCCGAGGAATAGGGAGTAAATGATAGCGTATACCATCCGGATGGATCCTGGTACAATGGCTCTTGATTGAAGCTCCAAAGCAGCGCAGAGTACGAGATATCCTGGAAGAATGAGCGCGATTGAGCTTTGGGCAATAGCGGAAAAGCAGAATAGTTCGCCGCCGTTGATGCTGCCAAAGGCTCTGGCGAGGAAGCTGGTCATAACAGCAGCACCAATCTCGAAGACATTGTTGTAAACGTCTGACTTTGGTGCGACGATGAGCTGCAAGAAACCAAGGAAACAGCCGAGTAGAAAACACACGGGCATGTCGATAGGACGTCCCGAGAAAGCGAAGGGGGCCACCGTTGCGCTGGCAAAGCCATACATAAGGACACGAAGCCACGGGTTGAATTTGTCCTTTGACTTCATGATGTCCTCGAGACGGATGATCGCTTCTTCTACTGGTATCACATCATGAAGCACTTCCTTGTATATCTCGTGCACATCTTTGAGTTTGCCAAGACAGACACCTTGCGGTGACCTCACGATCTTGACCTCGGTAGTGTGGCTGGACATGTCATCGAACGAGATGATCATGCATCCGGGCAGATACAGGAATTGACCATCGATCTCCAAGACGCGAGCCATCATCTTGAGGTATTCCTCGAGTCGATGCGTCGGGGCTCCGTACAGCATCAATGCCCTGCAGAGCTTGATAATGAACTCCTGACGTTTCAGAATGTTGGCAACATGGATTGTGATCCGAGCTTCCTCTTCCATTCTGGGTCGACTAATAATGGTCCTGAGCCTGCTGCTGTGGGATCTCTTGTGTTTTGGTCGACCCGGGCTACGTTGGCGCTTCTCATTAGGGTTGGCGAGGATCGCGGACGCGGCCGCCAGGCTGGCAAGTGTACTGGTCGAGCTGTTTTGGTCATACCACTTGCGACGCGTAGGCGTTGCAGTCCCGGAAGATCCGGGCGTGGTGTAGCCACTGTAATCTTTTCTGGGGATTTCGTCCACACGGTACAGCTTGAGCAGATTGGTGAGCAGTCCCTCGCGCGGTTTGTTCTCAGGTCCCCAGGCCGGGTCTTCGTAATCCAAGTCGATGAGGTTCTCCGTTTGGTTCGTGTTTGCCACGCGCGTGAGGTCGTTCGTCCCAGGGGGCCCGTCGATGGCGGCATCATGAGCTTGTGTATGCGCCCGTACGAGCTCATAAGCTTCAGCATTATGGCTGTGTCGGTCGTGGGACGACATGTGCTCGGCTCCTGCGCCATTGCCAAAGTCCGCACCAAATGAGTCCACACGTATGCGTGGTGACAGCAGAGCACCACCGCTGCTAACCTGAGATATTGTGTCGGACTCAAAGGAGCCGCGTCTTGATCCAGGAGCTGAGTATGACCCTAGCATAGTAGCAGCAACCGCCTGAGCCCTCTGGTGTGCAGCAGCGGCTGAAAGGAGCTTGTCCTGAGTGAAAATATCATTGCTGTTGCTGTTGTTGTAGTCCATGTCGAGCACAGAGTTGTAACTGCTACCCCTGATGATCGACGGGCGTGGCCTTGCGACCGGAGGGCTGCTGGGTGCTTCCTCCTTCTCATTCGGTGGTGACGGCGTTGAGTTGCCGTCCACCTGTGGAACGGGGAGGGAAAGGGATTCACCGCCGGCGGTGCTGTTAAACCGCACCCTGCCCTTCTCCTTTTTGCCCGGGACACTCTGTTTTTCCTCCATATTGATGTTGATGATGCTGACCGATCCGGCAGGTTTGGGTTGGCTGTCTGAGAAATGTTGGAGTAGTGATTATTTGGAGACGTTTGAATACTTGCTGCCCTAACAGCTATAGCTTCCGCAATAACTTTAACGAGGAGCAAAGTTTCCGGTATAAAGAGAGTTCGACGATTACGTCGCACGCAACCGAGCGAACCGTAATACTGCCATGCTTCCGAGATTGAGATTGAATAATGACAATAGACTCTGGAATCCGACACGAAGAGCAGCCAGCAATGAACCCGCGCAAATCGCTATCGAAACTGAGCAAGACCGACGACACCCTCACAATAAGGCGTACGGGCGAGCACCTGGGGAGGGCAGAGCAGACCAGGGTAGAGCACCGACTTGCTGCTTGACTGAGTGAGGTGACGACAAAGAAACTCGCAAGAAGGCGCGGTGTAGTAGTAATATGGAGCCGGTTGCGTAGGAGGGTCCGCAGTTTCTAGAGTGTGGCGACTGGAGACAGAACAGGAACGGCGCCAACGTAGATGCGCTTGACAGGGAGGCAAGCTCGAGAAAAGTCGACTAGGAAAAACGTCCCGCAGAAGTATTGGAAAGACGGAAGCCGAGACTTCTCGAACCCCGCCGCTGTTCAACTTGGTTTGACGCCGCTCGGGGTGTCCTGGCAAGTCTGGCTGCTTGGCGCAAGGGGTTGCGGTTGCGCTATGCACACTTTTCCCTGTGGCAAGCTGGACAACGGGCCGATGCAGGGCGCCTGGTTTTCCCTTACTGCCAGCCAAGGGATCCAATGATACGGACTGGCAAGGGTTGAACTATGATTGTGATTGCGGGAGCTTGGGGATCATGTTGCGCTTAGGACGCACCCAAGAGGGGGACCCGTGGTCAGCGTCCACGATGCTTGGAACGTGGTGAGACGTCGAGGTGTGTTTCCTTATCTGTCCCACTCCACCGCACGACGATCCAGCCTCCTTGGGCAGCGGAGACATGCTTTGCGACATGGACGCAGTGGGGAATGCAGGCGTTTGGAGGTCACAGGTTATTCTGAGGAAATATGTGGTACGGCGCGGGGTGGGACTGTAAGATTTCCGGAGAAGCGTCCAGACTGGAGTGGGCATGCACGAGAAACACCAACGAGATTATCGTGAAGTCTGCCAGAGCTGGGAAATGCGAGCAACGCCCCACCGCGCGGTGGACCCGGTTGCGACTCCGGATGCGCCGTCTTTCGTACCAGAGTTTGTAGCGTCAGTCGGTGAGCCATCGACCGTACCACAGCGTGAGAGCAGCTGTGCAGACCCCCATCGTGGACCTGAAGCAACCCGAATACTAGTTGGCTTGGGAGACCCAGTATGACAGTTGGATGAGGATGAACAGAGCGAAGACATTCGTGGATGCTGATGGGCGCCGCAATGGGCAAGCCATGGCTGCAGAGCCGCAGGCCGCAGGCACAGCCAGCACATCAGAGGCCGATCTCTTTCACGTGCGCGGGATGATCAATCTGCCAGATCCAGGTGTGGGATGCACTGTTGATCCCTCCCGAGTCAGGTTGAGTCACAGCGACAGTCCCGTAGCCGTCAGCGGTCGCGGCGAGCGATAAGGAAAAGGTTGAGCCGCTCAACACTGTTCTTTTCTTAGCGAGCCCCCAAGAATGGAAGCGCTGCAAACACCAACTACTCCGCCCGTGTGCCTCTCCGTGGCCCATACCTATCTACGGGGCGCGGTCTGGGTAAACGTCCCGTGTTTCGAAAGCATTTCAGGCTCTTTGGAAAAGTTTTTCATTTCTCATGTGCAGTGACCAATGCAATCAAGCATCCTGACATCGTGAAGTTGCGGCGGGATTATCAGCAAGGATTCGACAGCTTGCTGGGATTTACTGGTGCCCCCGGCTCGCTTCCGTCTAGGCTGGCTTGGCTGGCAGATAGCCGTGCAAGCCGTGCCAGCCTGGTCTGGCGGGGTTGTCAAATCTCAGAAAGCAATTATTAGAAATTTCTTCCAGCTGAGGTGCCCTCTTTTCCTGGCTCTCGCGTTGCCCAAACCGGCAATCCGTTCGACCCTCTTCTGGGTTTTATCTCCCGTCTCGTCTTGTAGTGGCTATGTTTAAGACCCGACAGTGGGGAGCTCTAGATTTCAGGGACCAGCAAACAAACCCTATCTCCGGGACGCCGTCAGAAAATCTCATGCATGAACGCACATGGCATTCCAACGCCACGTCCGATCTGCGAGCCAGAGGAGCCAATCAGTCCTACCTGGTTATACCACGCTGGCTTGCGCCAGTAGCGATAGGCGTTTGCTAGGCGGCCCCGATGGAGGAGCCACCAACACGTACCAAGCCACCGGATACCGACCAGGCAGTACCAGGTGCCATTCCGGTTGAGCCGCCTACTTATGTAGACTTTTAGCGTGTCCATCTGGGTTTCCCCTGAAAGATCCAAGATCCATCGAAGAAGGTTCCCTGCATCGTGAGGCCGGCACTCCGTACCTAGTGGGAACGACTGGAAGAAAACTCTAGCAACCGCCTGAGCGGAGTTCCCTGGAGCCAGTTCGTCTTTCAGAGCGTCGCATGTTGTCGACAGCTCGGATACGAACACACTCGAGGGCCCCACGGCGCCCCCCATCTCCATTCGGCTCAAGGGTAGTTTGTGCCGGCTGGCAGACTGGCAGAGGTTGTGAGACGCGGCATTCCAAGGCAGTCTCGGCACGGCCCACGTATCAAGCATGGGTAGGGTTCTGGAAGCCATCACGGAAGTCAAAGCGACCCCGGTAGTGGATCTCGGGCACCAAAAGCCACTGTATTTGCTTTCTTGACAACCAGGGTAACTATCATTGAAGGGATAATCGTTGATACCCGATGGTATGATGAGTGTGGAACAGAGCCGCACGGCCGCGTGTCCACAGGCGCTGGCTCCTTGACGACGGCGTCCTGTTCGTATCTGATATCTCATGTTGGACTGAGGCAGTGCTATGGATACGAAGGCTGCCTACCTCAACTGTTGCTTTTGCGGTGGTAAGACGTCGTTCTATTGATATGCATAGTACGTAGCACGTGGATTGTGACCACACTAGGTCGCCGTACTCATATCTTTCGTGTGCCTAAATGCATGAACTGAAACGCGCTTACAGATGGGTTCATCAAGAGCGTCGTACTGTGTGCTCAGCTTTATTGCCGATTCACGAAACATTTTGCCAGCTCACTTGCAATCGCTGAGACTTGATCTTGGACCACCATGACTAGCCTGCTTGTATGTTCATACGATCCGCGTAGGCTCAAATCTATTTTTTGCTCATCTTCCCGGCAGTGCAACCAATGCACGGGCTACTATTACCTCATCTGCTTCAAGATCATTCTCCATCGAGGCTACCTTGATCGTTTCGCTGGATGCGACTCAACTTGTGAATACACGTCGTTCTCTTAGTAGTTGTATGATTTGTTGACTGTGCCATTGCCTAGAATTGCTGGGAACTCTTGATGGTGATCTGCCACCATCGATTTTGATATAGAGACCTGCTGCTGATCACCCTATCAGTGGAACCTCCCCTATGCATCAGCCCCTAGGCCAAGTCCGCAGTATCCAATGTCCCCTTTTCCGTGTAAGCAGCAATCTTCTCAAAGATCTGGCGAAATATGTCTGCATCTACGGCTCCTGGGGCTTCGAACATTCCATTGATCCTGATGTTTGGTACTCCACGAACGCCGAGCTTCTGAGCTCGCAGCACCTCGTTCTCAACTTCCTCGGCGCCTTCGTTGCTCTCCAGGAAAGCCTTGACCTCAGTGCCATCCAGCCCGGCGGCCTCGGCGGCGCTTTGCAGCATGTTCTTATCGGTGATATCCTGCGCCTTCTCAAAGTACCTCGCGAACAGTTCATTCACGATCTTGTTCTGATAGTCCGGTCCCTTCTGTGCAGCAAAGCGGATCAACCGGTGCGAGTGCTTAGTGTGGCCAGTCCGGCCCGCAAACGAGAAGTTGATGCCGACATCTTTCCCAACTTTGCCAATCGTCTCCTGAATAGAAGCGAACTTCTCAGCCCCAAAGCGGCGCTCGTACCGAGCAGCCTTGTCCTCACCGTCAAGAGGTGCGTTGGGGTCAAGGTAGTAAGGGTACCAGGAGACAGCAAAGGTGTCGCTGCTCTCCGGGTGCGCCGCCTTGTAAGCGGCAATGCCAGCTTCAACCCGGCGCTTGCCCACGTAGCACCATGGGCAAACTGTGTCGCTGATGATCTTGATGTCGAATTTCATCCTGGCTGCTTGGGACGTGAACAAACAATTGGCGGGCACTTGCAGGGCATTACAGTATCTACTATGCGCAGAGACTCTTATGCGTCGGAGATAAGATCACGTCACTTGCGCTTGATTTATCAGCGAACCGCCGGGTGGCGCCCCGCTGAAAGGCCCGGGTTCCCAACTGAAATTCTCCAATTACTGTGTAGTTAGCCGAGGCACCCCCACTGGCCGCAAGAGGCATTGCAGCTTTGAGCCTTCTAAAGAACCTGAATCTACCAATCGTACATCTCCGTCACGAGAAGCCTCTGCGAAGTTGATGTAAGTCACACCCTCCAACCCTTCTGTTCCTTTTGCATCTTCTCTCTCCATTCATTCTCGAGCATGCCGAAAGTGATATGGTCGTGCCAACCACCATCGAACCATACCTCCTCCCTTCTGCAACCTTCGGGCTGGAAACCGAGCTTTTCATATAACTTCATTGCCCCGGTGTTATAGCTGAATGTCTCTATGCCGATGCGATGCAGATTCGCCATCTGGAACCCATAACCTAATATCCACTCAATAGCTTCGCTACCGTAACCTTGGCCTCTATAAGGCCGTAGCACGTCGATGCTGATGTAGCTGTACCTGTGCTGCGCAGAGGTGGGAGTCAGGCCCCGGAGAGAAATGATACCGACTGGCGTCGGCGCCTGTCCGTCTGGCCTTGATACGTCCGAGGGCAGGCAGAATATGACGGCGAGTAACGGCTGCTCGAGGAGGTATTGCTTGAATCTGTTGCTTGTTTTCTTGCTTTCCGGTGTTAAGATAGAGAACTGCGAGCCCGACTGCGCTTCTGCGTCACGCTGTACCTCGTAGATGAAGTTCTCGTCATCCGCATTGTCCTCAATGGCCCTGTAGAGCAGCCTCTTTGAGTGAAAGGGGTCAACAGGTTTGATCATGCCTCTGAGTGGTGTTAAAATATCAAGACTGACAGTTAAGTGAAGCGTTTCAGCAAAACATCTCTGAGCGCGGCAAATGGGAGACTCTTATAGACATAGCGGTAGGGAAGGTATACCAGATTCTGGACAGGGGTGCTGAGCTGCTAGCCTTTTGCAGCTCGCCGAAGTCCGCGGGGCTGCCGAAGCGGGAGAGTCTCACCGCCGCCTTCACGTCGGAGTGACTTCCGAGGAGTGCTCAGCCGACAAGAATTTGAGTCAATCGGTAAAGGCATCCATCATAGATCCTGTTCATGGAAGGATTCATGGACTTTCATATTCCATGGAATGTACGTGACTCAGCCGCTGGTGTGCAGTCAGTCAATTCGCACAGCGCGACGTCTGCTTGACTTGCCATAGGGCACGATGACTGCAGGTTTATTGATTGTTTCTATCTCAAGAAGTTTGAGATCAACACGTGGAAGCCAACCGGCTTTAGACAAATCAAGAGATGATGTTTGTCCATTTGTTGGTACCCAAGTTTGCATTTTCGTTAGCTGACTCTACCTATGGAGGTGCCTGCACGATCGAAAAAGAGTACCCGCAGCAAGCATAGTCTAGCCCATGTCTAATGCTGATGCAAATATATTATAATCCGTCAATATATGGCCAACCCTCTTATCATTGATTAGAACAGTATTCGAGTAGGAACCCACTAGGACTGACTATACCAATGCCCGATTCTACTCGATTCATATTAATCCGGTTCCTGGTCATAGCCCCGTAGATAAGCCTGCCAAAGTAGGCTAGCATAGCCCGGCAGCCAGCATACAGACAATCAAGTACTAATTGGCAGCTATTTTCAGCCAGTGTGGTAAACACTAGGCTCAAACGATAGCAACTGACTATGCTTACAGCTCTCAAACGTATAGTGTCACTTCACTATCCTGATTGGATCGAACGGGGGAGATCACCTGTGATTAGCTTCATCAATCGGTCACGAGATGTCACAGTAACGGATAGCAAGTCCCTCATATGGGCAAATCAGGCGGCGGGAAGGGCATCTCATGTTCCTATAATCGAGACCACTGTTGACTTGAGCCAGTGTACTGTTCATGGGCTCTCTTTAGCGTTTCCGAACCCCCGTTGTACAGCCTAGCCTCGCCTTTTCTTTTTCTTTCTTTCTTTTTTCCCTTTTTTTATCTTTTTCCCTCGCGCAGTATCCGTTGAACCCAGCCCTCAGCGCTCCCAACAACTTCCGTCCAACAATCTTCCTTCTAGTACCCTCGCAGGTTTTCTCTCGAGGCCACCTGTTGGTTCCCCCCCGCAACTATGTTCTGATTAGCAGTGAGAACGGGTGGGATGAAGTTAGTTGTAACAAGGTGGTTTGGGCGGAAGATCAAGCGGAAGGGGAGATTTGCTTCCCAAATGAAAACTGCAAGAGTGGGTGGATGCGGCGGGCGGTAAGGATAGTTGGGGGTTTGGATAAGGCAATGGCGGTGACGCGAAAGGGTTGTAATGTGCAGTACGGAACAGATCGAGGGAAAGGTAGGAAGGACAGGCTGATTGTGTAGCGTCGCAGGGTGGACGGAAGGGATTCTCGACAGGGTCAGGGAGTTGTTCTGGTAATGGAAGGATGGTGCTCAGGAGGGTGAATTGTAATGATGCGTGGGCTTGTGTTGTGAGGTGTTGTGGAACAGTTGGCAGGAACAGAAGGGCGTGGGAAGTAAGGGCAGAAAGACGAATGGGTTTGGTAAGGATGGTGGCACAGAAAAGCAAGAAAGAGCCAGATGGTCGGGTAAAATGGGTTTATAAGTATAACTGGAGGGAAGCTAAGGCTAGGTGAACGTATCGAGACGAATTGAGGGCAATGTGCTTGAGCGGGGATAAGAGGGCGGTGAGTAAGTTGTGGTGGAATGTGGTATGATGCGGCAGGGGTGTGCTGGGTTATCTGGTGCTGGTGGGCTAATTGATTGGTTGGTGATGCTGTAGAATGGTGGACGGAGGAGGGAAAGGTAGTCAAAATAAGGGTGTGTAATGATCGACTGGCAGGAGTGGGCAATGCAAGGATTGGCTGAAGGTAGCGGAGATCATGAGACGTGGGTTGAGGATTGGGTGTGCTGGGCTGGTGTTGGCGATGCAGAGGGATGACCGGGAAATTCTGGTGGACTGAATGTTGTGTAGGTTTTCGTGTTGCGACAGAGCGGGGGTGGGGTGATGTGGCGCGAGAGAAGGAGTGGGATAGCTATTGTTGGGCTGGGTGTGTGCAGTGTATCTTGGGGGTTGATGTGTCGAAGGGAGAATGTGAATTCAGTGTTGGGCAGCGGTGACGGGGCAATCGGTAGAGATGAAGTCGGGTGTGATGTGCTAGTGCCTGTTTAATGGGACCTGAGGATGATTATATACTTCATCTGTCGACCTCCTGATTGTTGAGATTACTGCAGGGGCAACCTCAGTTTCAGCGGCGACCTGAGGCGTCGTGAGACCTGCATCGAGCCATGTCACGATACGGTTGAGGCGGAGTCTACCGCAGTGTGGCGCCAAGAAGGCTCAACCCGAACGAGGTAGGATTAAGACATCGATCCACTAGGATCACCGCAAGGTCCAACACCAGACCAGACGGTACCTGGATCTCGCCTAGTCTGAAAGTATAGGGGGAGTTGTTGTCATTGGCCAACCGCAGCGACGGAAGAGCTTAATTCAGAAATGCCCGATGGCGTGGTATCCCGATTGGGGTGGTGTGGGGGGCTGCTTCGAGATGGTTCTCAAGCGACGTCGATCAAACCCGATTGAGTGTCACCATCCTTGCACACAATCACCACCCGACATCAGACCGCAAAGATGACAGCAACATCGACGCTGATTGGAGCGAGCATCGCAACTAGACGCGGAGAAGATCTTGCAAAGGTGGACCAGAGCCCGAGGCATAGCAAAGCCAAGCATGGTGGATGTGCCGAGAGACCCGATCTCTACTCAGGTCTCGGTTGTGCCCGTCGTGGGCTGCACATGGCCTGAGGGCCCCCAACTGAACGGGAACTAGGGGATAACGCTCCGCCACCGGGCTGAGACACCTCGCTGTAGCCGGTGAGTCAATTCTTGCAACTTTTCAGGAGTCCTTGGTCGGCTTGACTTCCTGAATCTTAGCTTCCCGCCGTACGCCAAGAGAATCCGCTGGTTGGGGGTTGCGAATGACCACAGCAAAGCATGTTGGGACTGACGAGCACGCATCCAATTCACGTGCTTGGTGAACTGCCGCACCTCTGGCGTACTTATTGGTATCATTCTCTTTTCTTTCAATGGGAAAGTACAGCCGAGATGGTGATTCAGGAGGAGCACGAGAAAGCAGTTGCACAGCAGGTAGACAAGCTGTCCCCGAAGTATGAGGAGTCGATCCTCAAATCCTGCTTAGGACTGATATGGACAGAGCAGCACAGAATGCTGCTGCCCGCAAGCCTTCGCAGAAGTGAGTCCCGAGAACATGGCTTTATGCCTATAGTATCTTGTATATATCACAGAAGTCCGGCTGTTTCGTATTTAGGTTCATGGCGCAATATGGCATACATCCTTAACCATGAACTAGTGTCCGTTCATCGAAACCGGTGACTCGAGGACTGTATTGCTACTGGCAAGCTCCTTTGCTTGATTCCCTGATCTTTAACTTTTGACAGAGTTCCCGGAGTCTGAACGATTCCATCTTCCCCCTTCAAACCCAAAACGGGCAAATAATTTCATGACTCGGCAGTATTACGCCAGTCGCAAAATCAGTGTCATCTGATCAGTATAATGACTCCCGAGACGTGTTCCTGCGCTTGAAGCGCAACGCACACGGATAGTAAACCACTGGCTCTTGAAGATGTTGTTTAGTTGTGTCCAGGCATCATCATACAGTCAAAAGCGAAACAGATCACGCATGCCAACCTCTGTTGCCGCAAGCTAATCCAAATTCAGCTGTGCAAATATCCCGAGATTTCTCGCTGCGCCACCAGTGGACATTACTTATCAGTTGTATTGATGTCTGTGACGCGACCGGAAACGTCCACCACAGGTGCAAAACCAGCTTCTGAGCCCTACTTATCTAACACTGTGGCCCAAGACAGCAAATTGATCGATAACCACAAGTTACCTAAAACGACTGAGAAAGACATTTGGCATGACGCCCTTGTCTTCATATATTGGCCCGTCTGAATTTGGGGTGTGGCCAGGGTTTTGTTCCTAGTGGTCGAATTCTGGACCTCAACGCTGACGTGAAGGCTCACCTCTCTCCCGATGATAGCAAGCGGTAGATTTTCGTTGAATTGTAGCCTCAGCCTGTCAAATCACCGGAAATATCTTCAGGAGGAGACAAAATCCCGTCCGAAGATACAAAGGCTTAATAAACCACCTTTGAGAATAGCCAGCTGGATTGTAAGAAGCCAAAGAACAACTGACCAGTTCAGCGTAATTATCAAACATGCTGTATTCACACGTTAGCTGGGGACATCTTTTAGCCATCAAGATTTGATCATCTAACCCCACTTGTTAGAGCACAGTAGACGCCTTCTCGGCACAGTTTCTCTCTAGGCTAAGGTCACTTCGTCGTAGATGCTAGACTAGCCTCACGTGCATCGGGGTTTGAGACTTGTTCGGGGATTTCCATGTAGTCAATATACGAATAAAAAGATTCTACTTATTTTTCGGTTGAGGTGGCTGTATTATTTATCATGAAAGAAAAGCCAGAGAGGATGCAGGATGAGAGTTGTAAGTCATTTAGTGTTATGATTGGACTATATTAATTACTATGTACACGACCACCTTCACAGCATGCCAAGTAGAACGATGACTTTCATCACAGATCATAGCTTGGCGAATGCAAGCTCGTAGATCGTACCTAGAGTCACCTTAGTCAGCTCGAGGAGGTGGTTGAAGTTGACGGTGTCGATTGTGTCCTGAGCCGTGTGCAGATAGGGGCTGGAATTCTCGTAGGAAGCCTCGGAGATGAGCGCGCCGGGGTAGCCAGCATTGCGGGCCGACGCGTGGTCGGAGCAGGCGTAGCCGCACTTGCTCGATACCACCGGCAGCTTGGTGTACTGGGAAATCGGATTAGCTTTTTGACTTGGAATGATGAATGAAGATAATAATGACTTACGGCCTTGATGCATTTGCCAATGAATGTCACCAGACTGGTATCGACGTAGTCAGTGAACAGACCGATACTCTCGGTAGTGCCTGGCGCAACGTATCCGGTCATATCCTGGTGCACGAGGCCTTTGACGACACGCCCGGCCTGCTTGTAGCTGTTCCAGATAGCCTGGCTGCCCAGAAGACCGCCCTCCTCGGCAGCGTACCAGTGAACCTCGATTGTGTTCACATGCTGGCCGGCTGCGATCTTGGCGTCCGTCAGCAGCACACGGAAGACTTCGAGAATCTCCACGGTGGCTGAGCCATCATCATCAGCGCCCGGGGCACGACCAGACGCAGGGCTACGCTGGTTGATGCTGTCCTGGTGTGCGCTGATGACAACCGTGTTGGTTGTCTGCCCTGGAATTGTGGCGATGATGCTGCTCTGTTCCCACGAGTGAGTGAATGCTGCAACTTTCACGTCAGCAGCGACATTCGCTGCCGTGATGATGCTTTGGACCTGCTGGAGCAGCCAGTTTGAGGACTGCACTCCATAGGTGGACTTGTAGTAGCGGTTTTGAAAGTTGGAGAAGGTGGTCAGCTTGCTCTGGAGGTTGGCCTTGCTAAGGCTCGGAATAAGAGCATTAACAGCTGCCGTCTGGGCCACGGCTGTAGGATAGGTGACTGCAGCAACCTCGACATCGGCAGAGGCGGGACCCGACTCTGTAACGTCAAAGAACTTCTTGCCCTGCGCCTTGAGTTCCCACTTCTCTGATTCTGTCACCACCTTGGTAAGGCCTGGTGCAAGCTGGAGAGTGAACAACTCCTGCGTTGGTGCCGCGAGAGTGACGCTAGAAGCGGCGAGAGCCGCGCACATAAGAGAACGGAACATTTTGCAGGGAGTTGTTGGGCGTGGGTTCGACGAAGGAAGCATGCTGCAGAAAAGGGCGGACAGCAGTATTATATCCTCAGTCTTCAATTATGGTAATGCAGCGGTGCCCACGCTTGGCGGCCGAAGCACCAGGCTATTCGGGCAGGAATGCTACCCATATCGCCATCGACGACGACTCTGGGATTTTAAGCTTAACGATGCAGAACCAATTGGATGACCGTATTTCTCGCTAGCCATTTTGTACAGAGTGAAGTCGTCTGAACTGGAAATGTCGCAATGGATCGTTGTAGTGTCAAGCTTCCTGAAGTGAGAATAAGATCCGCAAGCCAAGAAATGCCAAGGCTGTTCTGCTCAGTGCCCTTTGTTCATTCGTCGCGGGTTAATGACACCAGCCGAGACGGGAAGGCGCATTACAGACAGCATTGCATCGAGTACCACCATGCCAATCGAAGAGTCCATGTTCCAGGCGCGGAAAGTCCCTTTTCGATCTGGCTGAGGATCTTCCGCAATTCTTGCGTAATAAAACTAGTCAACATGGCGTGCAGTGGGTCGTGGGATTGTACGATGGAGGAGCCATATTTCGTAGGATCATTCAAGCTGCGCAAAGTCGATGTGGTCATGGTTGAAATCGAGATTGCACCGTCATGGAACTTCCTCGTCACGTATCGACGGCGGCAGCCTTGCGTTTTCTGGGCTTTTTGAGAAGCTTGTCAACTTCCTTTGCACCTCGCATGCGCAGAGTCGTCTCCTTCATCATGTCGCCCCATTTGACGGCACCGTGGCATTCGGGACATTGGCCTGCAATGGGAATGACCTCATCCCCGTCGTTGCCTAGGAGATGCTGGCCCCAGCAAGCGACGTGACCGACACCTTCGCAGCTAACGTTGCTACAAGTCGCATAGAGACCTTCACCTGGGGCCATGGATTCGCCACAGACTATGCAGTCGCCCTGGCGCTCGAAGGTGAATATGGAGTTTGTTTTCGTGACATATTCCTTCAGCGGGGTGTAGTCGAGGGGTAGGGCATGGATGCCCGAAGCATGGCCAGACTCTTCTGATGGCTCGGCCTCTGCCGCTGCCTCTGCCTCTACGGTGGTTTCGCGTGCAGGTTCAAAATCGGTGAAGACTGTGATGGTATCCCGCACGGGCTCGTTGGCGGTCGAACACCATTTTGTCCAAGCCTTGTGGGCGTCCTCGGAGAAGAAGTGCAGGCTCAGTGGCCACCTCGCAAAGCTGGGGACTCGCAGTAGCAGATGTAGGTTGGACAAGATGGAAGTCAGACTGTGTCGTGGCCGTTTCGGGTGTCCATTCCGTTTCTTCTGCGTTGCGACGGAGATACGGGAGGTTGAGGGGATGTGTAGAGAAAGATGAGGGTTCGTCAATGCCCACCTAGAGTTATCATCAGAACAAGGGCAGCCAGGATATTGCACGTTATACACGCGGGAGTGAGCGCTCACTCAAACTTCAGGGCTGCCACCATCCCCGGAAACCCAGACACGAGTCCGACCATCTCCCAGGGCCGCAAGGTACTGCGCGACGTCCGCGCTGCACCGCCCTTAGCCTCCCCATTGTGCTGCTTCAGTCGGCGGGGTGGGTGAGGGGTGCTTCCGATGTAAAGGGACGCATGGCGAACTGTAGAGCGCAGGATGTAGACTGTATACAGCGGCGGAATCGGCTTCGGCAGGACAGCCATGGCTGGTGGTGGTCCTGATCTCAGGGTGGCGTACTGCTTGAAGCGCGTAGCCGTGTCCGCGTTAAGGAGAGTAGGCCGGACGAAGCCCTCATTGTACGGGCCAAGGCAGCCACGACAAGAAGGGGGGATTTCTACTAAACGATCAAGGTGTCACCGCCGTCCACACGCCAGATGACGACCAGAACCCGTTGCTGTCGAGGGACCCTTACAAGTTTCTAGCTGCATCCGACGCGGTCGACTTGCAATAGTCCCAATATGTATGGAGTACCCGGGCAACTTGAGGTTGGAGGGGCAGATGCACGGGCCATGTGTCTGCTTCACGTGTGCGACATCATGGATGACGACTTCATAAAGGAACCTTGGAACTGTCTGAGGGCTTAAATGGAAAGACCATAGCAATCAAAGTACAGTCTGCGCAGTGGACATTGGACATTGCCGTGTCGAGTTCTACAATTCGAGGAAGCCGAACGAATGGCCCTCCGGCGATAACGTGTTACCCTGTTTGCTGCTGGGGCGTCTTAGTGCTAGCACACCCGGCATGTGCCTACCTGAGGTCTCCTCCCTCTGCGCTACTGCAGCAACTCGCGGACGCATCTGCGGGTGGCTTTTCCAGCCCAGCATGAAAGTGCTCAGTGAGCTTTTGAAGCTGGGTGTCTCACTCGGAAGATGTTTCCTTTTGACGCGCATCAGTAAGCCTAGGCCCAGGGCGTCGTTTGAGCAGTGCTCCAGCTGCTGTCTCCGTGTTATTGCTGTTGCTGCTGTTGCGATTGCGTCCACGTTCCGTTTGGACGAGTCGCCTGGGCCGGGCTGGAACTGGTCTTTGTCATCCTGTGCCGCCTGCATTTCGATTGCCCTCGGGAGCGGCTGGCTCATCCCCGCAAATTCGCTCCACTGAGATGAGCCTTTTTTTGGCGACGAGATTCAAGCGGCCGGGGGGCTTTTGCTGCTTTTGGTGCGTGTGCCAGGGGCCCGGCCCATTATTTGAACGTCACTCGCCTCCAATTGGCTCCTGGGCCTATTACGCACATCCCAGGGCTGATGATCCCCGCTTCGATATCAGAGTGCCCTCGACGTCAGGCGCACCGGACCCCGTCGCATGTAAGAAAGCCTCATGCCGAAACGACGATTCCGTGAGTGGCAGGCCACGCCAATACTGCCCGCTTGTCGCATGACACACCCGACCAGGACCAGTACACCGCTACTTGAACCAAGGAACCCCCTCGTGCGGTTGGCAACTCTGATATTCTGGCCGCACGTTTTCATTGTCGGATTGGCAGGTTTCGGTGACATAATGGACTGTAGCAACGTTGCCTAGCCTGTGACCTACACTAGCCGGAAACCTCCAAGCTCGGCGAAAACCCACAGAGCTCCCAGAGGCAATTAACGAGGTGACTACCTGCCTACCCACCCGACCTGCAGCCACGGCACGATATCTGTCTGGTACTTTCAGGCCCAACTGGCCCCGGCATCCGCAGAACCCTTGCACTCAGTCGCCATCTACTTCCCCTTCACTGGCGCCCTCGGCATTCCCGTCGCTCTGCCCAGATGTGCATCTGCCAGCTTGCGCGCCTCCCGCCGGCTGTCCGTCCCCCCAAACTTCTACTATGCGGTAGTGCGCACATGCAGCAGACTGATGATTGATAACTTTGCTGAGCGATTCATGCAACGCCGATCGCTCCCGGAAAGTGATGGGCGTCAGGATTCACTTCTCCCTTCACTCGTACTATGTAACACGAAGTTTGCTGGATCACCTGAATTGACTATCCGAGGGGACCAAAAAAAAAAAAAAAAAAAAAAAAAAAGGAATGGCCAGGCAGGCCAGGGTAATAATGGGACACCCACATTTGACATCCCATTTGGGGAAACCCATGCCGCACATTCAATGCCACGTTCTAACACGTCGCAACTGGAGCGCAGCCGTATCAATGTTGTTAATAATTGCCCGTCGCATTCGTGATGGCCAAGCTTCCAAGTCACCAAGACAGATCCTGGATGGTCCCGAGCGCACATGCACCCAAGCCCGAAAGACTCGCGTTGGTTTCCGCTTATCAGACTCAATTGCGTGCGGTGTCTATACCAACGCGCGAAAGACTGCGCGGGTTGACGAGGCTGTAGTGGAAGTCACCCTGGTGTTCTGACGTCGCAGCATGCTTCTGGAAGGTACAGCGAACAAACTTGACGAGAACTAGTAAATGGGCAGAGGAAGCCGCCATGCCATACCCAAGTGATACAAGCTGCCATAGGATGCCGGCTTTTCATTTTTAGTACCAGCACCACATGGGTTGCAGCAATGCAGAACATTTCTCCCGCTGGAGACCCACCACAGTCGTCACGTCACCCGTCGCCCGTCACAAGTCACCACAGGTCAATCCAGGCCATGCAGTGCCTATGTACTGCGTAGGTGCTGAAAGAGCCACAGGAACCCTCGGGGTGAGAAATAGATGAGCTGGCCCTATGGCGAATTTGCCCGACCGACAGGACACATACTGACCGACCGACTTTGACTTCGGCGTCCGTGTCCGTCCAGTGCCTGTGTCCTTCGCCCACTCTGGATAACGTCGCAGCCTCAGGTCTCTTATCCGCATCCAGCGACGATCTATCGTCCAACTAGCTAGCTACCGCCCTACGCAAAAGCCCCCCAGCACCCACTTCTCGCCGCCCACGTCAAACTCTATGCACTGTAGCAGACCCAGGCCCCAGCTTGACCACGTGCTTTCATGTGCAGCGCAGCAATCGACGCAGCGAGCATCTCAACTCTAACAGCAAAAGCGTAAAGAAAACTCTCCGGCCACCGTCGCCCATGAAATGCGCGCAGAGAGACTGGTGCCGGCTCTGCTCACTGTGCCGACCAATTGTGCCGGCTGAGGTTGAGGTTGAGGGTTGACGTTGACGTTGGCATCAGATGGATCTGAATCGAACGATAGCTTTTTTGTGGAGACACGCACTAAGTTAGACTGGCCAAGGGAACATTGTGTGAGTGCGCGAGTGAGAGTGAGAGTGAAAGTGAGAGAGATGAGATCCATGGATCGAGAGACAGAGAGATACCCCCCCC